TCGCAGACATGCGGCTAGCCAGTGCCTTCTTTAGTCTGCCCCCGATCTTACCCGTCATTGACTGTCCAGTCCAGCGCACAGGGGAAGGGGGTCTTACGTACTCTGTTTGTGAGCATCCACAGTACAGCCACTCTTTATTTCATCCAATTACTGGCGATCAATGGTGGCAACAGTGGTATTGCCAGCCATGGAGGCAGGAGCCGCCACACCCAGGGCATTGAAAAAATTACCAATGCCAGAGCCCCTTTGACTTTGCTTTACTTGGTCTCTGGTGCATCCTGGGCATCACGGTTCTAGTGTTTGCAAAATCTGAAGATCACTGGTCTATCAAACCTATTTCCAGTTACTAGCAGGTTCTCTCCTGATCTCCTTGCAGGGAGAAGTAGCTGTAGTGCAGGTTCACTGTGAACTGGGGTGCAATCCTGCTGCCCCCACCTCCCATGGTTTGCCTTCCCATCTGGGGACACAGGCAGTGACTCTGCTGTCTTAGAGGGTCCTTAGTAGGATGAAGCAAATTCAAATATACATGGAGAACTCAGAAGAGGGCTTGGTGCAATTTCTCTTCTCAACGACTCAAGACTTAAGACTAACATATGCTGTAATAGATGGTTATAATGGTTATCTATGGTGGCACGCAGGAGTGGGGAAATGCCTTGGTTCATTCAGAACTTGGAAAAAAGAGCTGTGGATCTGGGGGTGGGGTTGGAATTCATGACTGCTGCCCCCAACTGGGTCACTGAAAGCAGAATCAGACACTGAAGATGACTTTCTACTTCCACAAAGTCACTCCTTCAGGCAACATGTATGGAGTGCCCACTTTGCACATGGTGTAAGCCTTGGGGAGGGCTGCCCAAATGAGAAAACAAGGATGTTTACCTTTTAAGAGCTTTCAACGCAAAGATAACGTAGGTATGTGGTCAAGTAGCTTCCTTATTGCCTCTTACTGACTTTTCCACGTAATCAGTCAGCACCAGAGGAGCTCGCTGTGAGCTGGCCACAGGACGTGGTGACATAGTGTTCTGCAACCATCCCCGGCCGGGCAGGTTCACCGCCGGTTCAGGCAGCTTAAAAGAGAAATTTGTAGCCCTTGGCATCATCTTTACATCATTCTTAATAGTATGCAGGGGAAACAAGCCAGCAGGAAGACAACAACCTGGGCCCCTGCGAATCTCCATACACCCTTTCCTCTGGACTTTCTCTGGCGTTCTCTCGTGGTCTCCTCCTCTCGCAGCAATTGCTTATCTTCTCGTAGCCATTCAACACCGCACTTGTGGGTTTGTTTGTTTTTTTTTTTGTCTCAGTGATGCTGCCCTTATAGCCTCAGCCTCCAGGCTCAAGTGTGCCCACTTACGCATGCCCACACCATACTCCAGGTGTCCACAATCAGGCATGCGTGCCCTGTGCCCACACTCCCAAGTACCAAGGCCCCAGGTGATAGCCACCGAGGCCAGCAGCGCAAAAGCCTGACCAAGCTTCATTTATCTGATACGTGTTTTCTTCCCTGCTACCAGATGAGGCTGAAGAAGAAAGTTGGGAAAGTTCTTGGAGGAGTGACATGGGCTGATTAATTTGAGGCCCCACAACCTCCCAATGGAAGTGCTTTGGATCTTTGCCCCTCTTATCTCAGCCTTGTCTCCTGACAAGTCAAGCCCATTGCCTTTGCCCATCATGCTATCCTGTCTGACTTTGCTCAAGATTGGAAGGTACATGGGACCAAGTAAATTAACTGTGTTCTTTACCACAGGGCCCCCAGAGACTAGAGGGAAACCTGGCATTGAGCTGTTCTCAACACGTAAATGAATTAGTGGGATTTTTTGCAGACTCAAAGCCTGTTCGGGTTTGAAGATCAGGTTAGACTTGACCTTCATCCAGACTCCTAAACGGCAGATGGTTACTGCCACCTACAGGATCTTTTACCTGCTTCCTGAGCAATACCAGGCGTACAAGCCTGCTCAGCAACCTCAGTCAACCAGCCAACAGGTCTGGGATTGTTAGTGCTGCCTGCTTCAGACATGATATGCCTGCTTCTGCCTCGGTTTCCCTTTGGTGACAAGCCCCCTTCTCTGAATACCAGCCTACTGATCTGAGTCTTTCAACCAGCTCTTCTCAAGTCCTTTCCTCCAGCAGCTGGATCGTGTTCTTATCCTCAGCTGTTGCACATCCTCTTGTGAATGGGCTGATGGCACGGAACCCTGGTACTGACCCACGTCTGACTTTGTCACCAGTGCTCTGAACCCCAGTGTCCTTCTCCACCAGCGGCTCTTGCAACCAAGGCCAAGGTAGCTGCATTCATTTAAGACACTGTGCATTGTGCCGCTCAGTCTGTCACTTCCCCAGCTTTGTCCTGTCTTCTCCCTCATGCTGCCCCAGTCTGCTTGCTAGGGCCTGCCTACCGCTTCTGCATGCAAGTTGGCCCTTTCCAAATGCAGACTTCTCCTCCCTTCTACTCCCCGCCCCCACCCCATTCTCCCTCTCAGGATTTAATCTGTCTCTTCCATATTACAATTTACTTGGAGACCTTTTTAACCCTCCATCACACAGTTGTTTGTGTAAGCCAAGAACATGTCTTTTTTTCTTTGTATGTAAACCAGACCCTCAATCACTGAGTGCTGAAAAGATGAAGTCACAGGAAAACACCAAGCATAAATTTAAAACAATGTAAGTCTCCCTGGTCCTCTGGTCCCATTTCATTTAACTCACACATCACCACCCCCTAAATTAATCATTCTAAAACACAAGCATCCTCACAGCCCAGACAAACCAGCAACTCCCCATTGCCTACTGCATTGATCCACATGTATCCGGAATCAAGCCCACCCTCACCCCCTTTGCCATGTGCGTCCTCAATCCTATCTGCCCCACTGTATATGCCAACACTTCAACCCCCAGTCCCATGAAGGCCCACTTGTCCTTCTTTTCTATCTTAGCTTCTAACTTTCTTCATCCTGGAAGAAAATCTTTTCCTTTCCCCTAGACCCATCTGCCCACCTCGTATAGGTATTTATTGGCCTGGCTGAAACTAAGTGTTAAGACTTTTTAGGATAAAAAGCTGTCATTTAAATATTTTGAGTCGATTATGTCTGACAAGAGACAAGTCCTTATAAATCCTCCAGGGTAGAGTATATAGACTCGTTTTGGGGAAACTTATGATTAGACAAAAGAAAACAAGAACCCACCCCCGACTCCTGGTGGGAGAATTGAGAGGAAACCATGAAGCAGATGTTTTGGAAGCTGAAAGTTCTGTTTGTTAACAGACATGATGTCAACAGTTGAGTGGGAGAGGGAGGTGGGGAATGTTTCTTGGGTTATAACAAATGTGTCTGATGCTGTATCTGAGCTTTGGTTTGTTCCCCCAGGATGTGGCATGTCTTTACTGAAAGCTGCATGCTAATAATAAGAGCAAACAGTTGTTACACACTTACCATGTGCCAGGATGAGGTAAACCCTGGCAAGGATTAACTCCGGCCATGCTCACAGTAACTTTAGATTTTTCAAATGAACAAAAGACTCAGAAATTAAGGCATATTAAAGGCAAATAAGAGGCAGAACTAAGATGCAGGGACTCTGGCTAGTGTTCCTATCTGCCTGGTTTTTAAAATCTCATCCTTTAAACATTTGTTTGGGAATGCTTGGTAATTTGTATCATAGTGCATGCTTGTAATTTGGGAATGCAAACATTTTACCTGTAGGAATGCCCAATCATATTTTGTCACTTTTCCCTATGTGCTGGTTTGCATTTTTTGCTCAGATTTATATTCATAGGTCAAGGACTTTAAAGTCTCCTTGAAGTTAGGAATGTACCTATAGAAGCCCACTCTGTTGCTATACTTAAGCCCAGCTGAATCCTTCCTAAATACTCCTTGAATTGAACTACTCCAACTACACAAAGAAAAGCTTGTAAAAATACATAGAAACAGAGTAGCTTTCTAGAGTTTCTGGGGGAAGGCTAAAGCTGCTTCTAACTGCAAACAGAACAACATAGTAATTTAAAAACAATCCCACAGTACAAACATGAGAAGTGTTATTGCAGACTCCCAGAGGTGTATAATGGAGTTGAACTTTGAAACACCAAAATGAAGCAGCATTTAATTTAGGGTTTTGCAATCTGGGGAACTCAAATTGCAGCTGGGTGGAGAGCATCTGCCTGCAGGTGGCTATAGTTGAAGCTTTGGTTCTTTCTGCGGGAGGAAGGAGGAGCTCACTTTTTTAAATCCTTGGTTCAGGTTAATTATTGCTGTTTACTGTATGTACTGTCTGAACTCTTAGGAAAGGGGATGAGAAAACCTACTGGATCTTTCTCCTCAGATGACAACTAGACACACACTTTCATTCCTTTTACACACTTGCATCACTGTCTTTAAAGCCAGATTCACTTTAAAGTGCATGTTAATAACTATAAGAAAGTGAAAATCAAAATCAAACAACTATGAACCAGAGACACTCTATGGGGGGTGGGGGGCGGGGAGGGGTGAAAATAAGGGGGTTGCAATTGTATGGGGAATATAAAATAAAATTTATTTTAAAAAGTTAAAAAAAAAAGATTGTACTATGTACGCATTAAAATGACAATAATCAAAGAGACAGACAATCCCACCTCTTGACAAGGATGAGGAAAAACTAGATCTCTCGTACAATGCTGGTGGGAACGTAAAATGGCACAGTGACTGGAAAATTACTTGATACTTTCTCACAAATTTAAAAACACACTTAATATACAACCAAGAAATCATATTTCTAGGTGTTTATCCCAAACGAATGAAAATCTATGTCCAGACGAAAGCATACATTTGACTATGTCATAGAAGTTTTATTTGTAATGCCAAAAATTGGAAACAATTGAAATGTCTTTCAAGGGGTGAATATTTAAATAAATGTTGGTGCATATATATATATATATATATATTTTGCTTGCAAATGAAAGCAAAATTCATATATGATGCAACTTGAATGGATCTCAAGGGAATTACCCTGAGTAGGAGCATAAAATCCAATCACCAAAAAAAAAAAAAAAAAAGTGCATGTTAACAGTCAGAGAACACATCTAGTTGTTCTTCTTTCCCAGTTTTCTAACTGTGGGGCATAAAAAGTACAACCTTGATTGCTGACAGAGTTCATCACACAAACTGGTCTCCCCATACTATGGGCTAGCCTTGCATTTTGGTAATGTCTTCTATGATCTCGACAAGGGGTTTTTGGTCTCAACTAATGAAAAGAATCAAATCAATTATTTGATTAAGTGGAATTAAGGACATAAGCATCTTTTGTTGGTGTGTGGTTTCCTTCCAGTTACCTCTTCCCAGAACTTTACTATATGTGTCTGAATTGGTACTTACTTGTATGAATATCAGAAGCAGAGACTGGCTTCAATGCCCCTGGCAGACGTCCTTTGTGGGGTATTCCCACGGGGACTCTGAGTTTCCCTTCCCCTATTGGGCCATGTGCAGCTGTAAGGAGTGGAGACTGACAATTTGCAGAAGTCAGTAAAAATCTGTTTAAACAAATACAAATTAAAGTTATTCTATTTTAAAGGCTACTTTTGTATGTGTGAGCATTCATCCCTCAGCATGTGCACCCATTTGTTTTATTTCAATATCTTAAAGAAGGCCTAACAATGGTATACTTAAAATATTTGTTGTTAAAGAATTTTACTTAGATTGTGGTAGAATGAAATAGGCCTGACCCAGTAAGGGCTTTGGCCCTCACTGGAGAAGAAACCCACTAGGGCACCTTGCTTCCTTGCACATTCCTGCAGGGTGTGCCAAGAACGAAAGAGTGGGCTCTCTCGTTGCTTGGGCCACTTCTTGGGGTTGTTTGAATTAAGCAACCTTGAGGGATTAGAAAATGTTTATGGGACAAAGCACGGCCTGCTGCTGCTTCTTCATTTTTACCGTTTACTATAAGATAGTGAGTTCTTCAAGTTCAGCATTCTCTTCTGTAGTGCAATCCACTTCGTGTGCAAGCATCCATCTGAGCCCATCTGCTTCGATCCTGAGAGAACTGGTATTCAGGGAACGAACAGAAACACGTTGACCCTGTCTACACCGCGGCAGTTAAGTCTCTCCTTTCTGACCCAAGAGTTTGTTCTGTCAACAAGGTGTAACTGGGGCCAGCTGACGTGTCTGCCTGCAAGTGGGTACAATCGTTAAAGTTCTTGACATTTACCAGCTGGGTGTCCCTACACAGGCTATTTAACCTCTTTTAGCTGCAGTTTTCTTCTTTAAATAGGGGACAAAGGTTCCTGCTTCGTAGCACTGTGGTGGGGTTGAATGAGATAAGAATGTAAAGATCCCCACCACACTAGGCTCTCCCGGGGCGGCCCTTTTCTCTCCTCAGAACACCGACACAGAGCTCTTTGCTCCGATGCTGGGCAAGGGGGGATGAAGGGGCCCACAGCATGCGCCCTGGCTGACACGGGTTTGGTGCTGAGTGGACCTCGGGCTGCGGGCTGGCCTGAGGCACAATTTTTTTTTTTTTAAGATTTATTTATTTATTTATACAAGCACTGGGTACAGTCAGAAGCGCGGGAGGGCGAGAGAATTCCCCAGAGCCAGAGCGGGGAGCAGAGCAGGCAGAAGGACCGAAGTACACTGCTGAGGGGAGCAGCGGGCGGCAGGAGAGGTCTGCGCGCCATGCGGGACCCTCCTCCGGCGGCCGGGGAGCAGCCGGGGATCGAACCGGCGCTGCAGAGGCTGCGGGCAGCTTCGCAACCCAGCGCTCAACCGCTGCGTGAGGCACAATTTCTACCCGGGCGGGCTGAGGCAGCCGCGGGCTGGTCGGAGCAGCGGGTCAGGGGTCGGTCTTGCAGCGGCGGTTGCATAGCAACCACGCTGTTTTTATTTAGATTGTTTCAAATGACTTGGGGGTCTGGCTGATGGGGATTATGGGGTCACTGGAGACCCCGCACCCCCCACCTCCCTCCCCCCGAATGCGGGTGACGGTGCCCTTTCGAACAGCAGAGCCAGGCGCTGTGCCAGCCGCCGCCTCCCTCCGCCAGCCGGCCAGGGACCCCGCGGCCGCGCTCGGGTGCGCGCCCTCCGGCCCTCGCGCCCGCACCCGCGCGCTCCCGACGGCCCCACGCGCGCCGCCACCCAGACGGCTGCGCCCACGCCGCGGCGGTTCCGCGGAGGCCGCGCCCGGCGCGGGGACGGGCGCCCCGAGGGTGCCGCGGCGCGGGCGCGTCTTCCCGTCGGTTCGCCGGAGCCGGAAGCCGCTCACCTTCGGCTCCGGGCCCGCGGGGAGAACAAACGGCCGGCGGTGGGGCCCCGCGCACATAAACACGCACAAGCACCACACAGACGCCGCCGCGGCGCGCCGGCCGCAGCGGGCCCCGGGCGCGGGCGGCGGGAAGAGCCGAACCCGGGAGGGCCCCGCTCGGAGCGGCCGCTAAAAGGTGCGACGTAAGTGCCCGGCGTCAGCGGCGCCCGCAACTGCGCCACGGCCGGCCGGGGCCTGCTTCGCCGGGGCCGGGCGGGAGCGGCCGCCGGACCGGCCGGTGGGCGGGGGCGCTCGGGCAGGGAGGGAGCTGGGGAAGGGCGCGGGCGAGATTTGCCGTGCGCGGCCGGGCGGCGCCCGGGGCGGGTCGCAGGCCGGGCAGCGGCTGCCTTCGGAGCGACGAGACGCAGCCGGTGGGCTCGCGGCCGCCTGTTTCGCGGGACTCGCCCGCTCGGTGAGAGGTGGCTGCGGAGGGCGGGCGCCGGCGGCTCGGCTTCCGCGGCGGCCGCCAGGGCTGAACAACCGCGGCCAATGGAGTGGAGAGAAGGGCGCGGGGCCGTCGCCTCTGGCTTAACATGGCAGATGCGCAGAGACTCCAACAGGTGGCTCCGTGGCGCAATGGATAGCGCATTGGACTTCTAGAGGCTGAAGGCATTCAAAGGTTCCGGGTTCGAGTCCCGGCGGAGTCGCGTTTTTTTATTTCCGTGTAATCTGTTATCTCCCTCTTATCACCGCTCTTCCTCTACCTTTTCCTGACCGGTTCCAAGCTCCGCTCCCATTCCCTGCGCTTTCCCAGCGCATTCGGTGTTTGCGGGCTTTTCTCCTTTAAACGCTCGCGCGGGTCCCTCGTGCCTCCAGCTTCCAGGCTTTGTGGCTCAGGGCCAGGGCCCAGCCCTCTCCGGAACCTGGTGTAGGAACTGGGAAAAGCGGCCCTGGGGCAGCGGTGGGGAGGAAAAGGAAGCAACAGTGAAGCAAGGCCTGGTGATTTTGGCCTAAAGGACAGCGCGGGGGAGACCCGGCTCTCGAGTGTTGGGAAGATCTGCCTCAACCCCAGGGCGACACCCACCTGCCCGGTGCGCCACAGTGGAAGGGTTCGCACACCCTGAACTGCGCTTGGAGGGTTAACTGCCCCTTCGGCCTAGAAACCTTCCGAATTTGCCTGTACGTGAGATTCTCTAGAAATGTAGATTTCTAGACGTCATTCGGGACTGATTTAGTGGATCCGAGCTGGGGCCTAGGCACCTGCATTTCCGATAGACTGTGCGTTCTCCTCCCTGATAATTACTGTGCAAAGCGGTTCAAGGTCCACTCTGCCCATCTGCAACTGTGGAGTTGCTAGGTAGGGATTACTCTTTTATGCTTATTCCGACAATTTACAGCTTTGCACAAGATTAGGGTTCCACTTCACGAAATGCGAGTAAATCAAGAAATAAATGGGATTTTAAAAAATCCATGGTAAGAAACAAACTTAATTCCTGAATACTTTGCAAGATTCAACTATCCAAATTAGAAAAGTAAACATCCTTGTTCCTGTCTCAGTCTTGCAGTTCTCTTTTCAAAGCCTTTAGTGACAATGGTTTCTTGTAAATATTTTCAGATTTTATGCACATTGTTTTTACATCTATTGTCCCTCTACATTCTGATTATTAGGGCAATGCATATCTTTTAAAAACACAATTGGTAGTATGCTACCTTATTAATTAGTATGTTCACTTATTAATAGATTCAGCTGCCTTGTTCCAATGTGCATGTAAATCATAATGCTTTAATAATCCCCACTAGTTGGCTATTCAGATGTCTTAATAGTTTCCTGTTATACACAGTACTCCAATGAATATCCTTGATCCTACATAAGAGTACATGAGTGTAAGGTTATCTGTGGGCTATCCTAGGAAGTGGCTTGCTGGGTCAAAGGTTCCTTGTTCTTTGATAGTGCTATATTGCTCTCTTAGGGTTTGTATCTCTTACTCTCACCTATAGTGTGTACCCATTTGCTCATAGTCCACATTATCAAACAGGTAAATGGTTTCTAATTTTAGTTTAGTTTGTGTCTGATGCTGCATGAAGCTGGGCATATTTCCATATAATGAATATTTTAAATATCTATTCATGAGTTTTGCTCATTTTTCTGCTGCACCATTGGTCATTTTCTTACTGTAGCTCTTTACATATTACAGCAATCAGTTCCTTTCCTTTTGATACATTATTACTCTTTCCTAGATTTGATTTTATGGTATTTATTTGTCCTAAGAAATTCATATATTTGGATATATTAACCTTTTATTGCTTCTAGGTTTGGGGCTATACTGCAATTTTATCATGTTTTACTTTAGTGCTTTTATGGTTTTTAAATCTTCATTGAATTTTTATTCAAAACTTATGTACAAGGAGTGAAGTAGAAGTTTGTCTCAGAATCACTGATAGTGACCTCTCCTTTTCTTCTACACTAACTTGAAAATGCCTGTTATGTTCCGAATTCCCATAAACATTTGGGTTTCTAGTTCACTGATCTTTCTTAACCCTCTTCACCAGAACTGTGCTGACTTATTACCTGTAGGGCCAATCCTCCCTTGTAACTAGACATTTTTTCCTCTCACCTATTTTTTAATTATTTTCCCCACACAAATAATTAGCACTTATTTGACATTTGTTACATGCTAGGTACTAAATGTTTCATGCATTTTAATGCATTTAATCCTTCTGACCACCTTACCAAATAGGTAGTATCCCCTTTGTGGAAGAGACATCTGACACACAGAGGATACACTTGTATCCTCTTGACAGAGGTTGCACAGTTTATAATAAGCAGAGTGCCAGAATGGGAACTCAGTAGGTTCTCCTAATAAGCTTATCTTATTCTTGTGAGTTAATTTTTAAAAAGCAAAAAAAAACCCAAACTACAAAGAAATCCTGCTGCTCATGAGGAAGTAAAAGGCATTTTATACCTGTTTTTAGACCACTTTCAGATAGTCAACCCTGATACTGTTCATCCATTAAAGATTTTTGAATTTATTGGGTCTCCCCGGCGGCGCGCAGCCTCTGCAGCACCGGTTCAATCACCAGTCACTGGCGAGGAGCCCACATGGCACGCAGACCTCTCCTGCCACGCCTACTGCTCTGCTCAAGCAATGTACTTAGGTCCTTTTGCCTAGTCTGCTCCCCGCTCTGGCTCTCGTGAATTGTCTCTCTCTCCTGTGCTTCTGGCTGTACCCCGTGCTTATATAAATAAATAAATAAATAAATCTTTAAAAAAAGAAATAAAGATTTTTGAATTTATTATTTATTCACCCCTTATACTCTTACGTTGGATCTCAGTTGTAAACTCTATTTAGGAGCTCCTCCAATGAAGAGTGGAAAAACATAAACAAGGTATCTCATTGAGGAGTTCTTCCTATGAGGAATGGAGAAACATAAACAAGGTATCTCATCACAGAGGGATTGCAGCAGGAACCATGTCCTGAAGTCTTGTAATCTATTAAGGAGAAGGTACTTCACCCTAAAGGCAGTGGGAAACTGATGAGCTTTTAGGTGGGAAGCATTGTGATTAGATGTGTTTTGCATCACCCCTTTGGCTGCACTGTGGCTCCCAAACTGAAAGGGCAGGAGACGAGGCTGGAAAACCAGTTCAGGGCAGTTGGAGTCACCAAGGTAAGAAAACAATGAGGGATGGAACTAGGGATGTGGTTTGGGGGGAGAGGTAAGTATCAATATATACAGAGATTTTAAGGGGCCTAACTGATTGGAATTAAAGGATGTACAGAGGGAGGGAACAATCAAATATAATTTCCATTTCTAATTAAGGCAGATGGGAGGGTGCTGAGATAGTCACCAAGACAACAAAAGAAAGAGAAATGGGTTTGGGAGAAAATAAAGTTTAGGTTTGAGTTTGAGGTCTCTGGACTATCCTTGAGATATATAGTTGGCAGCTGGATATACAATGCCAGGCACATAACAAACTCAGTAAATATTGAATCGAAGGTGTGTAGGGAGAGGAGACCGAAAAAGAAAAAAGAGATGTGTACTTTAGGAGACAGATCTAGACTTAAAAATTCATTAGCCTACAGATGCCACTTAGTCCTGGACATAGAGAGATGGTACAGGGAGTATGCAGAGTCAGGTAAGGGTAGAGGATGGAAACTCAAAACAAAGGGGAGTTCTTCAAAGAAACCAAGAGAGGACGGAGCCAGAATAGGAAGAAAACAGGAGAAAATTAACTACCGGTAGAGGTTTCCTCGAGAGAAGGGAGTGAAGAAAAGGTTAACATCAACATCAAACATTCTTTAAACACAAGCTTTATGCCAGTATCTTTAACCCATGGCACCTAATTATCCCCCAAGCTCTAAGACGTATGAATTATTCCCATTTTATAGAGGAGTATGAAGGATTAGCTTCAGAATGAAAAAATTCCCGCTCTTCTGAGCAAGTAGGAAGAGGCAAGAAGAGAAAATTGAATGTCATGTTTGAAGACCTATTTTCTTTGTTCTCATTTTACAGTTGTGCTTCATACACACAGGATTCCAGGAAGGTACTGACTAAGTGGGAGCTGCCTTGAGAGTGAAAACATGCCCATCTTACTGCCACCTGTGGCCAAGACTCTAGACCAGGGACAGTTTCATTTCAACCTCCTTCTGAGCTGTAACCTTTTATATACCTCAGCATGTTTTTAATATTTTATAATCTCATTCATTTTCAATTCAACATGTATTCTGAATACTGGCTTTGTACAAGGAACCGTGTTGGAGGGAAATATAAGCACAAGTCACATTGAATGCGTTTTTGTAAAGAGGTCAAGGTAGTGTGGGGCCATGGAGACATGGGCTAGTGGTTGTTAGGACTGGTTTTGGCCATGAGTGACAGGAAACAATGTTAACACTGGATTTGGTAAGAGAGGTCGGTCTTTCAGGGAATGACAGCTACTTGATCATGTGGGACCTAGGTTCCTTATCATTCCAGCCTCAAAATGCAGCTTCTACTTTCTGTTCTAAGGTGGTCGATCCTGCCCCTTCTGTAAGGTCACCATACTATAGTGTAAAGGAGATAAATGGACAGAAAAGGGCCCTACTCCAAGCTCACCCGTCTTTGAAGGACACTTTTCAGATATTGCACATTCTTTTACTCACATCCCATGAAAAGGTGGGAATCGTGACTTCCCCCTTCTCCCAAGCGGTCATGTGTCCTGTAACTGTAAAAAAGAAAAAAAGTCCTGTAGTTTCTGCTGGTGATGCAGGTTGCTATGGCGCAAGACTAAAAGTATGAGAGTTAAAACTTAAAAGATGTGACCTTAGGTTACTTCTGTGCCTCGGTTGCTTAACCTAAGAGGGTAATTGTAGCATCTAACTTAAAGGTTTACCTATTACATATATACATGACATTGCTAACATATACATAATAAATTACATAACACTAAGTTTTATATCTAAAATCCTACATCAGTGCCTGGTACTTAATAAGTATATTAGGCATGTTAAATATAAAGAAGTAAAGAGAATCAAATGGAAATAGCAAGAGTATATACACCAGCAGAGAAAAATCTGGGGGAAAAAGTTTTTTTCATTAAGAAATTCAGGCAATCAACTGTGATGACTGGAGCAACCTCATTCCTTCCTTGGGTACCCCCAGCACCTGCACAGTGCCTTGCAGAGTAGAGGCTCCAAGTACTGGTTGCTGAGTAGACTTGAAAGGTTAATAGTAATTTGTTGGGTGGAATGGAGGCAAGGAAGATATTTTAGGTGGAGTTAACCATATGGACAAAGACAAAATTGGCGAAAGCACACTGTATCTGGTATAGCAGCAGGCATGCAAAGAACTCAGTGTATATTCATTCTCAACTGGTTTGGTTTGACTAGAATGTATTAGGTCCAGTAGGAGGAAAACTCATTACTGGGAATTCATTATACAAATGACAGAAATGCTGAAAACATAGGGGGAGAGACAGACAGACAGGCAGTGTCACACAACATTCTCTGGTCTGAAGAGATGAAGCCTGAGATAAAAACACATCGCATGTTAGTAGTTGAGATTCATGTAGTAAGTTTCTGTAGACAGGTGGGTCACAGGTAAGGCAAGGCAGTCTTAGGTGGCTTTGGCTGGTTGAGTGAAGTAGGTAATCTACTGAGCACAGGAATGGGATTGGGGATCCTCTGGGAGGATGGAAGCCTGCTGTATTTCCTATAAGCTCCTCAAGGTATAGGGCTCCTTCCTTGTACCCTGGGGCTTAAATAATGCATAGGAATGCATTTTGTGGAGACTGACTTACAGAATGAATGAATGAATTCAATGGGAAGTAACCAGAATTGAAAGGATAGTGATAGCAGTGAAAGTCCAGCTGAAAGCCAGGAGCTTCAGGGTACTTTCCCAAATTTCGGCCTGGACAGAATAAAAAGTGTTGGTGTTTCCCTGGCTACGATTGGCAGGTGAGACTAAAAGAAAGACTATGGAGCCTGGGTCTCCCACCCCCAAAGATTGTAAATTCATGATCTGAAGTGTTTCAGCCACTGTTACTCTACCAATCTCCCATCCCCATCTGGATACATGTTCCTCCCTAACTAGCTTTAGCCCAATTAGTCAGCAGTTTGTATACTTCTTTCAGTTAAGGAGTCCAGGTATTTTCTGGTAACAATGAGGCCTTAAAATAGTTCCAGTAAATAAAGTGAGTTTAGTTACACAAACCAGTCATTAAACCTGTTTCTCAACACACTGCTTCAAAAGCAAGACAAATAAATCTGTTATTAAATATTCAGTTATCTGCAGAAGTCCAGGAACATTAAGAGGCTTCCTTCTGGACAGTTTTTTACCTTCTCACTTTTACTCTGACTTTGAAGATTTAAAATAAATATGGAGATCACATTAAAATGAAGGTGCTAATGTGTTACCTGTTCTAATACCTTACATTAGATATTAATAGAAGTGATTAAAATTTTTTTTTGTTAAATACCAATTTATTTCACTGAATAAGGTATTTTACATTTGTTAAAAAAACTTTAGTTCCAAGTTATTAAAGTAATTTACAAAAATACAAGAACAAAAAATAAATCTAGTGACAGAAAGAGTTATGTATGTTAAAATACTCAGAACGCCTGTGAGAATCCGTGAGATGGGTTAAAGAAAAAGCTGGACTTGGATTCAGTACTCTTTTCCTATCACTACCTTCCAAGCCAGAAAGCTCTAGTGCTGTTGTATGTGGAAAAGATTATAAATCACTCATCTCTTTCCCTATAATATGCACTATATTCTTGCAAATATTTGCCAGAACTGCAGTTTTGCATTTCTGAATAATTCAACCTGTTCTAGCTATTCATAAACCAGAAACCATCATGAAAATCATACAGCAAAGAAGAAGTTGATTCACACCTTGAGCCTGAGAAAATCTTGGCCAGGCCTCAATTGTGTGTGAAGAGGAACATCATACTGAATGACTGACAACTGAGCATTCTTACAGTACAGTAGCTTAAGTTGAAGAAATGTTCTGCAAACAGTACTTCCTTCTGGAAGAATGCATGAAGAGTAAACTAGCTGTTATTCTTGTTTTGACATTTAATTCATAGCAGGTCCTTACTCAGCAGGCAACAGTCTTGGAATAAAAGTTTTTCTATAAAAGAGAACAGATGCAGCCACTTCTCTCGTTCCACCTATGAATGTTACTGTCAGTTCTACTACTAGGTTATTTATGATCCCAAGGACTAAATACAAAACATGAGATTTCACATTTACTGTGTCTTAAGGAAGCAGTGTGCTGGGTACGTATATGACATAAAGGATGTAACAACCCACCAACAAGCATTAATAAATGACCAACACTTAATGACCCTGAGTGCCATAAGTAGCTTAGTCAGGATATATGCTTAGACCACTGGAGATAAGCTGGGCCACAGTACTGCCTGGCCAAGTTAAAATTATGTTTATTTAATCTTACTTCAGTTGGAACACAATAGTGACTCTGGACAAACCAATTATTCCTCTGTTTTAGTTGCCAAGGACAGAAAATCTTCATTATCATTTAAGTCCTTTTTATAGCTTCATTAAGTTCTTCAGTTGTATGTGAACATGTGTGCTCCAGGAACACTTGCTAACATTCCTTTAGTTTCAATTGTGACTTTTCCACTGGCAACAGACAACTTTCTGTACCCCAGCTTCACCAATTTTCTGGATCTTTAATTTACAGATGACAGAATGCCATTTTGTCTACCATCACCCCCAAAACATACATCCCTATATATTAATTACAGATTGTTTCTATATCTTTGCTCATAGTAAAGTTTTCTGAATGCTAGCAAACAATATTTTTCAATTGTCTTTTAATTCATTTTTCTTTAAATAACCAACTGTTGAAAGCCTTACAAAATCACTTATAATGGCTGAGGTTCTCTTCCCTTTTTTCTCTGAAGGAAAAAAGTCTGTGATAGACACACCTGTTGTATTCCAAAGGGCATGTCATTTATTCTCAAATTAATTTTTTCCAAATAAAAGCCCTAAATCAACAGGGCCAGTGAGTGAGTTAATGTGATGACATAAGTTTTCAAAGCATCTTTAGTAAATAAATAAAGGAGAGAGAAAATATTGTGATTTGGTGCATCTTAATTACGGAATTTCTTCTTTTTTCGAAACTTCTTTCCTGCTGCGTTTGCTGCTTTTTCAGCCATGATTTCTGAGTACTTCCTTCGGTTATATCTAAAAAGAAAGACCATACTTTTAAGTTCAAATGTGTGACACACATTAATAGTCTTTGGGAGGTGGGGGTGAATGAAGACTTCTAAAATCTCATTTTTTCTATTTCACTACTCATCCTTTTTCTACAAAGTTCTATTATGTCAGAAATTGTAGAAAGTGTTGGAGACAGAGCAGCGAACCAGTCCGTCCATCCCTGTATTAGAACTTGTAATCTAGTCACTAGAGTTCCATGCACTACATTCAGCTATGAGACCACATCAAATGCTTTAAACATTCTTGTGCTACAAAACTGTAAAAATAAGGACTAAGCAGAACAAAAACCTTACCTAAAAATGTGTTTCTTGAAGAAATAGATCACTCACTCATTGTTTTCTAAGAATGCTTACTTAGGGAATGAGATTCTTCAGGGGTTCATTAAGTAGACTCTTCATAAAAATACTAAAGCATGTTGTCTTTCATGCTCACTGTCTCCATGAGTGTACAGTGGCATCCTCCAGAGGCTACATAATGTGTGGTCACAGCAGACTGACACAGAAGCAGACAGGCGGCTTCAAAGATATTAACCCAGACATTAAAGAGATTTGCATTTAGGGTCCTCCCTGGTGGTGCAGGGGTTAAAGTCTCAGTGCTGTCAAGCTATCGCCAGCCACTGTGGCATGAGTTCGATCCCCAGACAGGGAGTTAACCCACATGGTGCTGTGGACCTCTCCTGTCTCATCTGCTGATTTCCTCAGTGGTGTGTTTCAGTGGATCTGCCTGTTTAGCTCTCCACTCTCTCTGGTGAATCCTCTTACTACCGACACCCCAGTTCTTATATGCATAAATAAATTAAAAAAAAAAAAATCTTAAAAAAAAATTACAACAAAAATTTCAAGAAAATATGTTTATAAGTTGGTGGTGTTATATATTGAAAATTTGAATTCAGAATATTAAATTAATTCAAAAATATTGAATTAATATTTTTAAAAGGCTCTTAATTTTAAATTCCATTATAAATATTGGTAGGCATAACCCAAAAAACAAGTGTTCTTCAGGTCATCAATATTTCGTTGAGTTTAAACGCATCCTCAGATAGAGAATTGTTGCTACAGACTGTATTGCAGAATAATGTGGTATCTAGACACTTCAACAAAAGAACTGTCAGTACAGTTAAGATTCTCTAAACATGTGAAACTGCTGTTCTGAAGCAATTTCACTGTATCACAAGCACTTGGATGTTATACCACTAAAGCTGAATACTATTAAAGCTAAGGATAAATTAATCTCTTTAAAACAGAAACCCAAGATTAGATGAAAAATCAAACAAAGCTCAAAAGCCACAGAAAAATCACATTTTCTCCTGTATATTACCCTTTGTTTTGTCTGTCCCAGGGTCTTTCCACTAATAATTATGCTACATTAAATATGTTCAGTAAAGTTCCAAAGTGGTCAGAGGCTGGAAAATCTCTTGAGAGTGTTGTAGAGGGGATTAAAACATTTGTGGAGAATGTGTTTCACATAGCGTGGCAAATAAATTTTAGTGGTAAACAGACAACTGTCATTTAAAATAAAGTATCTTAATGTATATTAGAAAAAATTTAAATCAACAAACCCATTTACATTAGCAATACAAAGTTTCCTCCTAAAGTAGGCATTATAAAGATAAACACTGAAAATGGTATTCAGTGACTGAAGAACAGGAAACAATGAACAATGACTCTTATTTAATTCTAACAATTTCTAGCTTACTACCCCAACTTTCTTATTCTGAGGTTATATTTAGTGAAAGCACTATCAAAAACACTGCTGTTACTTCTGAGATTGCCACCATCAGAATTATAAGATGTAGGCCAACTTTTAGCTGTAAGCTGATTGAGCAGGGCCTAAATCAGCTTGCACTACACCTTTGTGGAGATAGAAAAGATAGGTCTGAGTTAAGAAAGTGGAGGTGCTGAGGAACTGCCCTAAAGGATGAATGGTAAAGCCGTTCAGTCAGGAGATACAGAGCACTGGAGAGGACTACACTGCACAGGGAGGGTAGGAACAATAGACAACGAGGTAGCTCTTAGAGAGGCTTACGAGATACCCACTGGATGTTCCTGAGAAGGCAGGTAGTTATGTGGGAGAGATCTGGACTAGACAGACACATTCTGGAAATCAACAGGATATAGATATTTAAAGCCCTATGGGAATGTGATTTCTGAGGAGAGAGTATTAAGTGAGAAAAGAGCATCACTTTTTAAAATAATGTTTACCATTACCAACACCCATTAAAAATGTTAAAGGACCTCCCTGGTGGTGCAGCGGGTTGAGCGCTGCGCGGTGAAGCTGTCTGTAGCCTCTGCAGTGTGGGTTCAATTCCCAGCCCACCGGGGAGAGACCCAGATGGCGTGGCAGACCTCTTGTCTTGCCTGCTGCTCCCCTCCGCAGTGCTTTCAGTCTGCCTATTCTGCTCCCCTCTCTGTCTCTGGTGAATTCTCTCACCCTCCCGCACCTCTGGCCTGTACCCTGGTTCTTGTATAAATAAATAAATCTTAAAAAAAATTGAAAAAGTCAAATAACACAAGTTCAATTTGTTTCCATGCCTGTGATCTTCATTGCTTTAAAAACCCTTGATAAATGTTTTCAGTTTTGCTATTAAACTATTAAACCCATCTGGAGTTCAGTGGAGGTTTCTATTAAGTATGTTTTTCAGTCTCCTATAATAGTTTCTTTAAGGCCATTAAAACATAGGCAGATTGCTTCCATCTTAAAAAAAAAAAAAAAAAAACAAAAAAAACCCCTTGAACTCCACATCCTCTAGCTCAGCCACTTTCTTCTTTTTTATAACCAAACCTCTTCAGTTATTTTCACCGTCAACTCACTCTAATCCTCTCCAGTCTCATTTCCTAAAACTACTGCCAAGGTAACTGTGACCTCCATGTAACCAAATCCAAAGGGAGTCTTTCTTTAGTTCTTATCTGACTTCTCAGCAGCATTTATTCCTGTTAATCACTCCTTCTTGCTTATAATATTCTCTTCTGCTGACTCATGTGCCCTGCTGGTTCTTAGTGACCCCTTGGCTATTCTTGCATAGTCTCCTTCGCAGGCTCATTATCCTTTAGCCAGTTAAATATTTTAAAGTTTCCCTCTAAGGCAATGGTTCTAACCTGGGAATGCTTATGCCCCACAGGCACATGGAGATGTCTGAACATGCTTTGGATTGTCATGAATAGGGGAGAGAATAGTACTACTGGCATAGAGTGGCAACAGGCCAAGGCCAGGGAAGGTGTTTAACATCCTACAATGCAAATAGTCCATACCGATAAAAATTACTCCACCTAAAATGTCAACAGTGCTACAGTTAACCCTTTGCACTCCGAACCATTCTGGACATTGGCTACCAATGTCCCCTGAGAGGGGACAGCGGAGTGCAAAGGGTTAAGAAACTGAGAGAAAATATTTACACTGTCTCTTAAAATTTTAAAATTTATGTACTAGCTTAAAAACAAGCATCCATATACAGTGAAACAAATTCTGTTACCTTCTGAACTCAGAGTCAGCCAGCAGTTCATCCACAATAGTTCTTTTCCTTTGTTTCTTGGGAATTCGTGAATGGTAGAAGTCAGCTGGATTGTCCACAATGGTTCCAATCTAGGAACAATCAATTGAAGCAAGTCATGTAATACCTGTTTTCACATTTCAGGGTAGCTTTAACAAACAAAACACATTTATAGAAAGTAATGCAAAACACAAGCTTACATTTAAGTTAGTTCTGACCTTTTTAAAGCAAAAATAAGCCAACCATTCAATCGGCATACTGGTTCTACTAAACATTTCTTCATTAGAGCTTACAGCAGTTCCAAAACTGTAATTTAGTGCTAAACAGTAAATTTTTTATGAACAGCGTGAATACAGAAAAAAAGTGGGACAGAGAATATAAACTCTTTTATTAAATATAGCTCACAATTCAATGAAATACAGATAAATTCTACCTCGTACCTAATCCAATCTCTTGGGTTTTTTCATAAATGCTGCCAACTTAGAACCTACTTAGCAACCACTCTGCATTTGTTCATATAGCCAACCAAGTAAAATCTACAGTGTCTGCTATGTGCCAGGCACCATGCTAGGTGGTAGAGAAACAAAGGCAAGGAACCCAGTCTTAAGGGAGAGCCCACAGCCAGGTAACTAAAAAATTAAAGCTTAACACAATGTTATGCTGAACAAAATACTATAGATACTTTGAAGACTACTAAGGAAGTAAAATTTCACCACACAAACAAGGCAGAGCCAAGCACATGCAAAGTCAGAATGCCAAGATTAATCTGTGCAGATGACTGTACTTAAGAAGGCAGTGATAAAAGAAGGGTTGGTGAACACAGACTGTTTGGGTACAGACTGTAAAGGGCCACAAAAAGGGTACAGACAATTCTACAGGTCACAAAGAATCACTGAGGGGATGGCTGAATACCTGTGATAACACTAAACAAAGATGTAACATGAACAGATTAAAAAAAAAAAACAAACGACAGGCTACAATATGGAGGATGGACCAGCAGGAAGAAGATACCTGGAGCAAGGGACTATTAGAGCAATCCAGGTGAGTGTCAGGAACAGTAGTCAAGAAGAACAAAATGAACCTGAGAACTACCTACCAAAAGATGAATCAACCAGGCTTTCATCTGAAAGTACTTTTAACACTAACTTTTAATTTCAGAATTAAACAGCAAGTGCCCCTCTACCATCCTCCTTACCTCTTCTACCCTGCAAGGATTCTTGCTATTAGGCTAGTACCATTCATATATGGCACACCCACCTTACAGGTTACATCATTTTTAGAGAGTTGACCTGGAAACCCAGTTACCTTGTGTAACACCACCTCTCTATACAGAAAGTCTGTCTAAATGGGTTCTGGCCATTACTACACGGTATAATCAGATACAGTCCATATATTAGGCACATGCATTGTAAATGTTACCAATTTCAAGCATAAACACAAAGTACTTCTCAAAGTAAAATCCAAAGACTATCACCACGATTCTGTTTGCTTCTTACCTGGAAGTACTTGGGGAAGCCATCCCTGTCATTTTTCTTGTAAAACCTTTTGGGGTCCATGCTGGCTCTCATCTTCAGTGCTTTGAGATCATTTTTCAGTTCATCTGTCAATTCTGGAGCTTTCATACCAAACCAACCATCACCTGCTGTTTTTTGTCGTTCTTTCTGAAATTCAGATATCAAAAATAAGCAAGCACTCTAATTTTAATGCACAGATTAGACAAAATACCTCAAATCCCCCCAAATTTATATATACAGAAAATTTCATTAATGAAAATCAAGTAAGTTCTTTGTTTTACAGGATGGATTTGTCTTCAGATTCACCTTTCACAAAAGGAAAAAAAAATCACAAAAAGTGATTTTTCTGGTTAGGCAGGCATAACATCATCAATTTCATAAATAATGGTTACTTGAACTTTATATCTTAGTAAGAACTATACACTTGCTGGGACAATAACCAATATTGTCAATTTTTATTGTGTATAATAGTCTACATAAGAGATAATATACAAAAAGTTATTTCCACCTGGAGCTTATCTGTAAGAATTAACACATTTATTTAGTTACCCAGGTGTCTTAGAACATCACTTGAAATTAATGTATTTCTCAAATAAAATTGCTTATTTTAAAAACTCCTAACAAGTTATTTGCTTAATTTTATTTTTTGTCCCATTCACACAGCAAGCATTATTGAGTGCCTACCATGTGCCAGTGACAAGACATTACTAGAGCACTATTCTCCAATTTCCTCCAAGTTCTCTTGATAGTGTCTTTATGGTTATTCTTTGAAATGACAAATGGAAGCAATCCCGTATTTTTTACTGAAGAAAATAGTTTCTCTCCTCTTTTCTGGAAGACTAAATGGACTGGGGTTTTTTAGCTGGCTATATGAAATTCCCTACAACAGCCTGCAACAGAGCCCCTGGTCTTCATGAGATGTCAAGAGGCCTGCAGTGACCCTATAAGTTGGCTGTCACTGTTTTCAATATGAGAAAAAAACCCTATGTTTAATACTTTGTAGACTGTGGCTTTGTGGAAATTCATATAAAACGAGGTTAAGGAACTATATTTTATGGGTCTATAGATATCTGCAATAACTTTGGAAATATATATATATTTCAATTATACTAAATATACAGTCAAACAATGTAAACATTCTAACCAGTCACTGTACTTACTCTGCGTTTTTTCTGAAGTTGATACTTAGATTCACGATAGGGTGGAACACGGTCATTTTTTTCAAAATCAGGAGTAATGATGGCTTTCTGCAGTAGCTATAAAAATATTGAATTGGTTTAAAATAATGTCATATAAGTTTTCAATATTTTTGTCTTACATGGGAATTATCTCCCACTCTGAGGACTACTCTAAATGTATTAACCTTCTTCATATACAGACATACTATCACAAAGTTGTTCCTGCCCTTAAATTTCTAAGTTATATCACAATAAAAATGTTTTAGGAAACAAGCTGAAGGATTATTTTAGGAAATCTATAAAGCCAATATTCATCTCAAAATTTTCCTTAAGTACAATCCAGACAAAGTAGAACATCAGTGACATTACACCATTTTTTTAAAATTTTGCACAGCACTGGGGTGTAGGCCACAGGTGCAGGGGGTGAGAGGATTCACCAGAGACAGAGTGGGGAGCAGAACAGTCAGATCTACTGAAATACACTGCTAAGGGGAGCAGTGGGGGAGACAGGAGAGGTCTACTGCACCACACCTGGGTTAGCTCCCTGGCCCAGGATCGGGCCAGTGTGACAGTGCCAAACTTAACCCTTACGCCACCAGGGAGGCCCCCTTAGACTATTAACAAGAGAAGCAACTTAGAATTTGTTTAAATATACTGTTTATGTTCTATCAATGAGATCATCTTATCTAGACAAATCTACTTTTACAAGACCTTCTTAGACTTTCTCAATGTCAATTCATATAAAGATCAGCTTCATTTTTTTTTAATATTTTAAAAAAAAATTTTTTTTTAAAGATTTATTTTTTATACAAGCACTGGGTACAGTCATAAGTGCAGGAGGGTGAGAGAATTCACCAGAGCCAGAGCGGGGAGCAGAGTAGGCAGAAGGACTGAAGGATACTGCTGAGGGGAGCAGCGGGCGGCAGGAGAGGTCTGCGCGCCATGTGGGACCCTCCTCTGGTAGCCAGGGAGCAGCTGGGGATCAAACCAGCTCTGCAGAGGCTACGGGCAGCTTCGCAACCCAGCACTCAACCACTGCGCCACCGGGGAGGCCCCAGCTTCATTTTTTAATAGCTGCTTTGCACAAGTTCCCCCCCCCCACACACACTTTATCATGTCCATTAATCTTTTTTCCACTAAACATTACAAAAATCATCTGATATTTGTGATTTCCATAAAACAGATTTCAAAATTTGCAATTTAAATTTTATAGGGGGCCTCCCTGGTGGCGCAAGGGGTTAAGACGCAACCTATGAAGTTGTCCATAAGCTCTACAGCAAGAGTTCGATTCCCGGCTGGCTAAGGAGCAACCCACATGGCACAGCAGACCTCTCCTGACTTGCCCACTGCTTCTCTCAGCAGTGTATTTCAGTCTATCTGCCTGTTCTGCTCCCCACTGCTTTTCTCAGCAATGAATTTCAGTAGATCTGCCTGTTCTGCTCCCCATTCTGTCTCTGGTAAGTCTTCTCACCCCTCACACCTCTGGCCTGTACCCCAGCTCTTGTATGCATAAATAAATCAATCTTAAAAAGAATTTGATAGGTACTGCTAACATGCTTTTCATTCAAACAGCGTATACACTCTTACCAAGAATTAATCAATGGCCTTTTCTTTACATCACCATCAACACTGGGTATTCTTGTATGTTGTCAAGGGAGTTTTGTGGCTGTTTCCATTTGCTGTTGCAATCGTTTTTTAATGTATTTTTAGCTATGTATAAGTTCTCTTCTGCTAACTGCCTGTACTTTTTTGGGTTCTTTTCATTTTTATATAGAGCTGCTTTCTAATTCATTTGTAGAAATGTACTTATCTTAATGGTATTAACCTATGGTCTTTCAGTTTCTTTGTTAAGGTGTTTTTTAGTCATTTAAGTTTTTAAATTTTGTAGTCAAATCTGTTCATCTTTTCCTAAATGACTGTTGCATTTTTTATTAGCTGTCCAAGATAGTTAAATATTCTAATACTGTTTATGTGACTGAAAAGAGCTTCATGGTTACTATTAATTCAGAAATTCCCAATTCAGGTTCAGGCCTTGGAGTATTTGGACTAGGGGCAGTCTAGACTGTCCTACCGTTCAGAAAAAAGAGCATGATATACATTTTAACAGGTTATTATAAGCTTGTTCTGTATATAGTAGACTCCAGGACAGTGGTTCTTTACTGAGAGACACTGGCTATATCTGCAGATACTTGGGCAGGAGGGAGGGATGTTACTGGCATCTAAGAACATCGCTAAACATCCCAAAGTATACAAGGCATCCTCTCATGACAATTATCCATCCCCAAACATCACAATTGCTGAGGTTGAAAAATCCCACTTTAGGAATACAAAGATAAAAGACATTAAAATAACAATCATAGGGCCTCCCGGCGGCACAGTGGTTGAGCGCTGGGTAGCAAGGCTGCCCGCAGTCTCTGCAGCGCCAGTTCGATCCTCAGCTGCCGGGAGAGGGTCCCACATGGCGTGCAGACTTCTCCTGCTGCCCGCTCCCCTCAGCGATGTACTTCGTTAGTCTGCCTGCTCTGCTCTCCCCTCTGGCTCTGGTGAATTCTCTCACTGTCCCATGCTTCTGACTGTACCCAGTGCTTGTATAAATAAATAAATGTCTTGGAAAAAAAAAACAATTATATAACATGATCAATATTCAATCAGATCTACACTGGGTTTTGCAAAAGCACAGAAAAAGTAGGGGGAAGGACTAAGGGTCAAAGATTACTACCTACAGGCAATGATCTATGATTCCTGTACTGAGCTTGGAAGCAACAGAGTATAATCAGGGAACTGTAATAGTTTTCAAGGACAAGAACACAGCAGGTGGACAGTCAGAGCTGGGGGTAGCATGAAGACTGAGAAACCACCAAAGGATTTATACAGGAGAATTTCATGGTTCACATTTGTGTTTGTAGATGAGTAGGTGAGGAGTAGTAGGACTATTGAGCAATAGTAGGACTATTGCAGTAGTGTAAATGAAAGGCCTGTACCAGCTAGTGACAGTGGGGTGAAAATGAGGAAACAATAGAAAGTATGTAAGAGGCATCTTCTAGGCTTGGTGACTGACCGAAAAAGGAGATTTCTGGTGTCAATTACCAAGGCTGAGAATCCAAGTGGAGGAGCTGGTTCACCGAGAAGAGAATTAGGCAATTAGTGAGGTGAAGTGCCCGAGCACATATGGACAGACAGACAACAGGCACATGGATTTAAATACCTCAAGAGGCAGCAAGGTTAGAAAATAAAGATCTGGAAGTCAAGGTGATGGCTAAGGCCATGGGTTATGGTTACCCTACTTTTTAATTTCCTTCTAAATGATATGAACATTCACAGCTTTTGGATTCTGAAAATGGTCCAGAATAGTTAAGAAAACAACCCCTGGAGTAACTGGTGAGTGCGAGAAGGGGAATACTGATCCCAAATTACTTTACTTTCCAACAAAATATCTTAGCAGCTTACCTCATTTTTCCTTTTCTCCTTAATCTGTGTTAGTGTTCTCTTGTTCGACTGTAGTTTGTCTGCATTAAAATTAATGTACAAACCACCCAACTGCTTGATACTCATACCAGGGTCTATGCTGCTGCTGGTTAACTTCAAACTGTAAGAAAAATAACCACTTAAAAGCAAATAGTTAAATCAAATGAGAAACTGAGACTGTAGTTTTAGAATCAGTGTTTCCTTCTCTCCCCATTTACTGTCCATAACCAAATAAATTTTTACAATGGAAATCCCAAAAAATGATAACCATCAATTTTATTTTTATTTATTTATTTATTTTTAAAGATTTATTTATTTATTTATTTAAGCACTGGGTACAGTCAGAAGCGCGGGAGGGTGAGAGAATTCACCAGAGCCAGAGTGGGGAGCAGAGCAGGCAGAAGGACTGAAGGACACTGCTGAGGGGAGCAGCGGGCGGCAGGAGAGGTCTGCACGCCATGTGGGACCCTTTTCTAGTGGCCGGGGAGCAGCCGAGGATCGAACCGGCGCTGCAGAGGCTGCGGGCAGCTTCGCAACCCAGCGCTCAACCGCTGCGCCACCGGGGAGGCCCTAACCATTTATTTTAAATCTCAGAAAGTCATTAAGCAGAAAATTCTGGGGTGAATAGTGACTTAAACAAAAACAGCTTTTTGGGAATGCATACGTATTTATTCCCAGATTATCTTAAAGAGGATAAAGGCCAGAGAACATGCCAAGATTTCATAAAGGGACTTTATAAAGAAAATAGACATGTGGCAATTCAGCTCAATTTCAAATATAGTGAGTTAATAAATGTATGTAGCTCAATCTCTAAAACTAATGAATACGGTTCTTCTCTGAACTTCCAAATTAACCAAACTCAGAATGCCTTCAACTAAGGGCAATTAGTAGTGCCTCAAAACCAGAGTGTTTTAAATAGTGACGAGCATTATTATTTCCCATTGGAGCTTTTAAAAAAATGTCACACCCCAGACTTACCAAACCAGAGTCTTCTGCAGTTGGCTTGGGCCCCTGTTATTTTTATGTAATGTGAATTACTACTTTACTTATATTTACATTTTAAAAAGATAGGTTTATTAGAAAAAGTAGGAAGAAAAAAAGAAGTTGCTATGTAGTCACTGGTGGGCAGTCTTGGGAGGAAAACTGTTGCTGCTGCTTCGCAAAGGGAAAAGTTTTGTGAAAAGAAATGTCTGCATTTCTCTGCAAGCATGTTGCCTGAATTACTATTTTGTATTACTGAAGGATATTTTTTATAATCAAGTACACTTGGACTTACAGTCATTTTTTATCCCTAATTATTCATGTAAATAGCACAATTGAAAGCTCTGATAATCCCTCTACAGTAAGTGAAATTGGTATACTGCAGTACCTGGCAACAAATCTCACCCTGAGTGTACAACAGAATTATGTACGTTCAATTGTACAGAATGTATTAATGTTTTCTTCTCACTCTTAGAAGAGTGGCTTTTAAAAATAAGTGTTTTTGGACTTCACATCATAGATTAATTTCATTGGGTTAGAGGGAAGACTGTACATTTCTTAATATACAGTTCCTTACAAGAATGCCTGCATTTCTGGTGGATACACTGCCACCTGGGGTCGGAGCTTAGGAAAAACAAGCTCAAAAGAGAAAAAAGAAAACTACGGAGACAGCTTCAAACAGTGGCCCTTTTCAATGGGCGATGCATGAGCTTATAGTTGATTATTTTCCTCAGGCTTTTCTTTACTTTTCAATTTCTCCACAATCAACTAATAGAAAAAAACCAAGTTACTTTCTTTTCCTTTGAACTGCTATTAATAGTGAAGGAGAAAATGTATTTTTATGGCAAATTACTTAAAATATGCATCAAAAATTTACTTAAAAAAAAGGTAGGGCCTCCCCTGGTGGCACAGCGGTTGAGTGCTGGGCTGTGAAGCTGCCCGCAGCCGGTTCGATCCCCGGACACCGGCGAGGGTCCCACATGGCGTGCAGACCTCTCCTGCAGCACCCACTGCTCCCTTCAGCAGTGTATTTCATCAGTGTGCCTGTTCTGTTCCCTGCTCTGGCTCTGGTGAATTCTCTCACCCTCCCGCACTTCTGACTGTACCCAGTGCTTGTAGAAATAAATAAATAAATAAATCTTTAAACAAACAAAACAAAGGTAAAACTTACAGTTTAGACTTTGTGCTATTTAGTAAGTCATCTTCATCACTAAACTCACTGTCTTTATTTTTGTCATGGTCTGAAGGTTCTTCATCACTGTTTTCATCCTCTTCCTCTTGTTTTTCTTCTTCAGTGGCAATTTCACTTGCCTTATCTTCTTCATTCAAGTAAAAATTTTTATCAGCACCCAATCCAGGAGTTGTGTCAATTACAAACAAGGCATTGTCACATGAAATATTTTTTGAGTTTCCATTTAATGACTGCTCTTGACCACGATTTTCAACAAAACACAGAGTGTCCTCTTCATTGTCACTGTTTTCAGACTGCTGGCTTTCATCACTACTGAGAACTAATAAAACAGAATCATCTTTCTCCTGAGATGTGTTGAGCTCAGTCTTTGAGAGTTTGGCATCACACTCAAAATCTACATCCCTTTCTTCGTTCATGCTTTCACTGACTCCTATCACTGTGCACTCTTCTTCATCACTATCATGATCATCAAATTCTGTCAAATCACTTGTTTTTATGGTGTTCTTTCTTTCATCATTCCACTTGTCCATTTCTGCAACTTCAAGTGTTTGAGCAAATGATTTTATTACAGTCTCACAGTTCAGATTTGAGTGCACTAAAATGGTCTTGTTATTTTCGGGAGTTGAATGCCTTTGAGAAACTGACTGCTGAATGCTGGTGTCCTGATATTTAGAAAGATCTGATTGAGAATTTTTCTCATTAATTTCTTCCCCCTCATCTATTATTCCTTTGGCTTCTTCATCTAAACTCTCAAAGTTCTGTTTTGTTTCTTTGAGAGGTGCATCACTGCCATGTTTTTCTTTTCTCATATGTTTTTGCTCAGTCTGTGTCTGCAATTTCTTCTGCATACTCCTAGTGGTTCTCCTAATTACAAATCCAGAAAATGTAGAAATGTCTGAGCACGATGACTCAGCATCCGAAATAGCTTCTGTATGTGATTCCTGCCTTGCTTTTGTTAGAACTTTAGCCTTATTTCTTCTGGTTCTTGTAGTTAATACTGTGGGAATCACAACTTTAGAAATACCCGAAGCATGCGATTCTGCTTCAGAGACAACTTCTTCAGTATAAGACTCACTTATTGAAGTAGTTTTCACTCTTTTTCTAACACTGGATACTGGGGTGCATGCCACTAGGATCTGCCTTCTCCTAGTTACTCTTAAAATGGTATCCTGAGGCTCAGACACAGTGGAACATTCTGACTCTGCTTCAGAGGTCTCTCCATTATTGGGGGGTTTGGTCTTTCCTGGTAATGAGTCTGTAGTTCTGCTCTTTCTCTTCTTGGTTTTAGGAGTTCCAGGGGTTGGACTTTGTTTCCTAGTAGTCTGGGTCTGTGATTCAGCAGTACTGGGGTCATCAGATCTAGATTCCTTCCCACCTTTTGGATGTAGTTTAGTTTTTTTAGCAGCAGAATTCTGCAAATTCAGAGAGAACACACTGTCATTTAGGGCGAGGTGGACAAGGGCAAAGTAACTGTGACAATCCCAGCCGGAGTATACTATAAAAGAGCATCAAAAAACTCAAAAAGGGGACTCCCTGGTGGCACAGGAGTCAAGTCTCAGCACTTGAGTTTGATCCCCCCCAGGGAGGTGACCCACATATGGTACAGCAGACCTCTCCTGTCTCACCCGCTGCTCCCCTCAGTAGTGTATTTCTTTTTTTTTTTTTTTTTTTAGAGGCATGTTTTCTTTCTTTCTTTGTTTGTTTATACATGCACTGGGTACAGTCAGAAGCGCGGGAGGGTGAGAGAATTCACCAGAGCCAGAGCAGGGAGCAGAGCAGGCAGAAGGACCAAAGTACACTGCTGAGGGGAGCAGCGAGCGGCAGGAGAGGTCTGCGCGCCATGCGGGACCCTCCTCCCGTGGCTGGGAAGCAGCCGGGGATCGAACCGGCGCCGCAGAGCCCGCGGGCAGCTTCGCAACCCAGCGCTCAACCGCTGCGCCACCGGGGAGGCCCAGTAATGTATTTCAGTGGATCTGACTGTTCTGCTCTCCATTCTGTCTCTGGCGAATCCTCTTACCCTCCACACCTCTGGTCTACCCCTCAGTTCGTCTTCTAGTGGGGGAAAACCCCGTAAAAATAAATACAAAAGCAACCACAACTCAATGATTGAAAAATTGTAGTAAAAAATTAAATACAGGATCTGACCCTGAGTTTGCAGGGCCTTGTCTCACACAAGTGCTGCATCTGACTTTATGAGTAAAATAAGTAACTGAAGAGACAATCTTCTCCACATAAATTCAAAGATCTACGTTCCCACCCACATAGTGGGGAAGTAACATGAGTGTTACATTAACGCTGAGCAAAATTGTGTTTAGTGTGTACAAATACAAGGATGGAATCGCTGGCCACGTCTTTTACACATATGAAATTAAGGCTCCGTTTCAATATCGAAGAAAAAGAGAAAGGCAGTGGGACGACAAACAACACGGGAACTACCAGGCGGCGTCACCGCTGCCCTCCCCACGCCAAAATGCGATGCTGTGGGACTTTGGCCCTCGGGAAAACGGTGCCTTTCTCGCCAACCACGCAAGATATGGCTCTGGCTTGGTGGTCAAAATTAATCCTCCCTTGTACTGCGTTAACAGCAAGGCTGAAAAGCCTGAGCTGTGCATTACAAAGTTGAACGACCCAAAACAAGTTCCTTAATCTCGCTGCTCCCTGCTAAGGTCCTCCTCAAAACGTAGTGAAAACCGGAGCGCTGCCGCCGGTGTAGCGAGGGGCCTGGCTCCAGCAGCGCGCAGCCAGCCCGTGCCCTTTCCGCCGGTTCGACTCACGCTCGGGCGGGAGCCTGGCCACAAGCGCCATGAGCGCCGCTCTGAGGCGCCTTCCACTTCCTACCTTCTGCTGGGAGCTTTCGGCCGACGCGGCCTGACGCCTCGCCTCAGGCCCGGCCGATCGGGTGACCACCATCTTCTCGGCTAGCCAGCATGCAGCCTCGTCGACTCCGGCGCTCCGGAAATGCGTCAGAGAAGCGGCTCGCTAGCGATTTCCGGCCAGATCCCAAAAACTCGCGAGAATTCCTTATCTGCCTCCCACTCGCTGACGGAGGCCTGGATGGTCTGGCCCGCGTGGGAACTTCCCCGGAGCCGGGGATTTTGTGCCAGTGCTGTTAGCTACAGGCCGGCTTTCTGTGGGGAGATGTCGAGCGGCGAACTTATAGAGCGCCTCGTTCCCATGTCACACGAACTGGGGAACCACAGCTTCCACCCTCATTTTGTTAGGGGGAAAAGGATGTCCTAAAGCTAATTCCATACAGGCTTTGTGGACTCCACCCCCACCCCAGGCCAAAGCCAAAGACACTGGGAACTCCAAATCCCATCACCACCAAAGGGAAGGTGGCTGGGACCTGAGGGTGGGGTTAAGTAGGCAGGTGGATATAAAAGGCAGACACGTGGGCTTTGGGGGATCCCCATTTTGGCTCTCCACCAGCTCGCAGCGTCCGGCCTGCTCTGAGAGTGCCTTTGGGTTTCCAGGTCGGCGGATCCGGTAGGACGCATTAAAGACTTTATTTCCCTATTTTCTCCCTGAGTTGTCCATTTTCCTTATTTCCTTTTCCCTTGTCAATAAACCTTTTATTAACCTTTTGTGTGTGCCTGTAGTGGAGTATTCATAAGTCCCTTTTAAGCGCGCGGGTGAGGACCCACAGCCAGGAACCCGTTCAATATCGGGCTGTCCTATAACAATTTGATCAGCAGTTCTAGGGCTCTTGATGTAGCCATAGGTATGGCCGAAGTTTCTGCAATATTTATATCTATTTTTTCAGTTACTTACTCTTGCATAATTTGTGAAGTTAAATTTAAATGAAAAGCGTGGTTGAAGTAGAGGTGTGTATGCCTCAAGAACTCGGAGACTATTAACAAGCTATACAATCTAAAGGTGAGATGGTGATTAGGAATTGTAATAAACAGAAAAGAAGAAATGTTAAGGAAATTGTAAAGGTTGAAAAGAATAGCACTACCGAGACTCAAGAGAAGTTTTTTGTTTTCCTTTTAGAATAGTGGAGAGCTAGAATACGTTTGAAGGGAGTGGAGAAGAATTGAAGAAGTAAAAAGATGTTTTTGAGAAAGTTAAACGCTTCACCAAATCTGTCTTTTCTTCTTTAGAACAGAAAACCATTCTTTTTCTCTTTCAGTCATACAGATTTTTTTTCCCCCCGGGGGCACGTTGTTACCCAGCTAAATAGCTCCTTCCATAGTTTTCCTTGTAGCCAGATGGGTCTGTTTATGACAATTACATACAAAATAAGTGTTGCATAGTACTTCAGGGAAATCTTAAATGAGAAGAGGTTCTCCTATCGTCAACTTCATTTTATTCCCTGGGAAGTTGTGTTCTTTGGTTTTCAAGCAGCAAATTTGTGCCATTAGAATGAGAACCTTATTTTAGGGGTCCCAGGGAATTAAGAAAGAAAAAAATGAGTCCCTGACAACTGGTGGAGCTCCCATATCAGTCTTTTTTTTTTTTTTTAAACTTTTTTTTTTTTTTAATAGAGGCATGTTTTTTTGTTTGTTTGTTTGTTTTTGTTTATACATGCACTGGGTACAGTCAGAAGCGCGGAGGGTGAGAGAATTCACCAGAGCCAGAGCGGGGAGCAGAACAGGCAGAAAGACCGAAGTACACTGCTGAGGGGAGCAGCGGGCGGCAGGAGAGGTCTGCGCGCCATGTGGGACCCTCCTCCGGTGGCCGGGGGGCAACCGGGGATCGAGCCGGCGCCACAGAGGCCGCGGGCAGCTTCGCAACCCAGCGCTCAACCGCTGCACCACGGGGGAGGCCCTCCCATATCAGTCTTAAACGGCCTATTTCCACATCATTTTGCCAGAAACACCTGTCTTTTTTAAAAAATTTAAAAAAAAATTTTAAATTTATATATTTTTACATCGTTGTTGATTTTTTAAGCAATGTTTGCTTTCCCCCGCCCCCTGCAGGTGTAGTCCCCACAGAATTTCCTTCACCAACGCACCTGTGCACCATCACCACAGTCCTCTGTGCTTTCCTCCCTCTGATCCCTCCCTCCTCCCCTGCAGGATATCTCCGGTTTGTAATTGTCTGTCTGTTTTTGTTTTTTGTTGAAACACCTGTGTAGAGTAGGTAAAAGGTATCAGGCTTTTCTGCGCTCCAGCCATTAGGATAGAAGACGGACCCCTGCGGTCCTGAGTGCATGCCTGATGGCGGGCACCTGGAGTAGGGTGTGTACATGCATAGGTGGGTACACCTGGGCTAAGAGACTGGTTTATAAGGGTGGTGCAGCAGAGGGCTGTGTGGTGGTAGTGCCGGGTGGAGGAGTGGAGTGTACGGAGGAGTACAGTGTACGGAGGAGTACAGCGACTACAACGAAGAGCATGTGGCTGCTAGAACCGTTCATAAACCTACCCGGAATGGGCTGGTTGCTTTACAATCTGTCTTTTTAAAAGTTAGTTACTTGGGGATTTTTCTGTTATTTGCAGCTAAACCTAATCCCAACCAAAGAATGGAATACAAAATAAAGATGGAGGGATTAGGTATAGAAGCAAGCTCCTTCCTTTGAGGCAGGGGAGAAGAGTTGTTGGTAATCACTGTGTAATAGATTAATCTGCTCCGGGGAAGGAAGAGGTTTAGATTGACTTGTAGGGAACGTGATGAGTAGTAAAAAGAAGGGGTTTTAGTAGGGCGAAATAGCAGTGAGACCATGTAAGAGAAAGAACAGAGGGAGAAAAGGGGAGGTATGAAGCAGACAGAATGGTACAAAGGAAGGAAAGCAAGCATCAGGAGGTGGGTATTGGAGATCAAAGCAGCAGAGGATAAAGCCTTGATAATAACAGTATTGACTTCTTACTCTATGCTGGATGCTAGTCAAAGTGTTAAATTAACTAATTTAATCTCTACAACACTTAAACAGTGTATAAAAACCAAAATTAATATCACAGAAGTGGGTATAGAAAGTTGGGGGAGTATCATATATATTTTAGCAATGTATAACAATCAATTGCAAGCATGGCCCCCTTTAAAGGAAAACAATCAACTCCCCCTCACCCAGCATTTACAATCTAAAAAGGTTACAGAAGAAATAAAATAATAAAATTCAAATGTCAGTACATCCTCATGAGAAGACTGAGTTGGTCTATCAGCAGATCTGCTGATAGTAAGCAAAACTGAAGTGTTCAATTTTTGTTTTATATGGGTTTACCAGGTCTAACTTTTTCCTTAATTCTACCTTCTTTGCATATCCCCTACCCAAAGTGGTTTGGGGGCAAACACAGTATACCCAAATTTAGGTAAATACACTATAAAAATACAGTAGGTAATTACTCAGACCCAAAGAGAAACTCTCCCTTGATAATCTGTACTTTACTAATTAAACTCATAAGCTGAAGAGTGGATTCTCTCTAGAACTTTAGGCATTAACCGAAGATCTGAGTTTTAGTGCGTGAGCCTTCTAAAAACTATTTATGGTTAATGCGTAATTACATGTAAAACATTACTGTTAAATTGTTTGACTCATCAGTAACCCCCAAAGATCCCATATGGTTTCAGATCCTTAAGTGTGGGCTGGATCAAGTGACTTATAATGAAAAGAATGACCAAGTAACAAATGTCATTTTCAAGATTAGGTAAAAAAAAGACTGGCTTCTGTCTTGTGCTTGTTCCTTCTGTGGGAAGCTAGCTGTGTGTTATGAGCTGGCCCATAGAGTGGCAAGGAAGTGAGGGAGGCCACTGGTTTCTAGCCAGTGAGAAGTTCAGTCAGGCTAACTTTATGAGCAAGTTTGGAAGAAGACCAAACTTAAATCAAGCATACGGGTGAGACTAATTTCAGTTTGACTCTTCTATTGTAACATTTCAAGAGACCCTGAGGTTTCCAGGAATAGCAACAAAGAAATCACTAATAATTTTGTCTATCCTAGAATTGCATGTAAAGGAATACAGTATTCTTTCATGTCTAGCTGCTTTCACACAGCATGTTTCTCAGATTTATGTTACTTTGTATACTGTAGATAGTGCTTTATTGTTGATAATACAATTAATGTATCCACTTAGCATTTGGCTTGTTTCCAGTTTATGTCCTTTTTGGACACATTTTTACTTTAATTGAGTAAAAACATAGGAATAGTAAAAACACAGGAATTGCTAGGTCACATGACTAGTGTATATTCAAGTTTGTAAAAAATGCCAAATTGTTTTCTATAGTGGAAAACCTTTTTTTAAAAAAGTATTTTATATAATTCTTACATCATTTTTCATTTTTGCACAATGTATGCATTTTCATTTTATTATATTCCCCATACAATTGCACCCCCCCTTATTTTGACCCTAGTACTTCCTCTCCCCCACCCCGGTAGTGTGTCTCTGGTTTATAGTTGCTTGTTGATTTTGATTTTTACTTTGTATTAGTCTTTTTCCTGGTCCCTTATTTAGGTTTTCTAAATTCCTGCTATGCGTGAGACCATCCGGTATTTATGTCCCCTCCAGCATTATATGAAAGTTCTGCATATGTCCCATTCTTAACACTTGCTATTGTCCATCTTTTAATATTTTAATATCTCATTGTGATTTTAGGTTGCATTTTCCCGATGATTAAAGATGGTGAACATTTTTAAATGTTCTTATTGGGTATTAATATTGGGAGAGAAATTCTAATCTTTTGCCTGTTTTTATTGGATTAAGTTGTAAAAGTTCTTTACACATTCTGGATACAAGACCCTTACTGAATGATTCATATTTTCTGCAATTCTTTGGATTGTTTACTCACTTTTTCACTTTCTTGATGGCGTCCTTAAAGTGAAACATTTAAAAGTTGATTATGTCCAATTTATTTTTCATCAGAAATATATATTAGAAATATTTCCCCCCAGTGTGTAGTTTGCATTTTTATCTCCTTAACAATTATTTTTGAATTATTTCAAATATAAGATTTAAATTGATTAAAATTAAATTTTGATAAAAAATATTTTCTTTCATGATTAAGCTTTTTGTTACCAAAAAGTTTTGCAGCCTGTTTTGATTTTTTTGCTATGTTCTCATGTCACTTACAACAAAAGTTGAAACTTCCAACTAAAAATAAAAAAGCAACAAGGAAAAAAAGACATTACTTATAGAGAAGAAGAGTATATATGCTAGAACTCAAAGGAATAGCATCTTCAAGATGTAGAAGGTAACTGAAAATTTAGAATTCCATAATGTAAAATCACCATTTAAGAACAAAGTAATATTTTCAGGCAAACAGAAAGTTTACTGCAGAGAACTTTGATGTAAAAAGTTATTAAAGAATTTAATGAAGTAAAAAGTGAATTTAAGTGGACTAGGATAGAAGAATTATCAGTGAGCAAATAAACAGGGAAAACAGCTGAGTCTTAATAAATGTTTACCGTAAAACATGAACTTTTCTTAAAATAATGGACCAACAGACACCAAAATCTCGTATGACATTTTACATATTTATTCATTGCTGAAGAATACATATTTCGTTTGACTTCTCTGGTAAACTACATACACCATGTCCTGATATATTTAAGACAATTGGGCATGTTCTAGTCACTTGTAAAATGTGATTTTTCTAACCTTACCTACTCATCTCAACAGAAGCCATTCCTTTCTTATTAAGAACAAGTTCTTGAATAAAGTGCCTTTATTGAAGACCTGAAGTTCATATATGAACTCTTCATCATTCAATAAAAGCATATTTACCACATACGAGGCAAATAACACCCTTTGCCCAGAATGCCCATCCATACCTCATCCACTGCTCCTGCTCTAAGGCTAATTTCTTCGGGGAGCTTACCCCTTACCTTGCTGCCCAGCCCCACTTCTTTCCACATGCTCCAATCCTTTTTCACCACTTCTATAATTAACAAATGCAGCCTTGTGTTCTTGTTCATGTACAGATCTCTTCTCCTTCCAAATATACAAAGTATATGTATGCTCTTTGAACACAGGGGTTGCTTTTCATCTCTGTGTCTAGATTCAAATACCTTGCACAGTGCCTGGCACACAGTAGGCATTCAATAAACCTATTGAATGAATGAGTGAATGGCTTTATGGTTTGGATAAAAATTCTTCATAATTTGTTTTCTAATCATATTCTGAATTGAAATAGTTCAAAAATCATTATAATGTTCCAGGATCCTTACAACTCAATTAAAAAATAAACAAATCACATTTTAATTAAATTCACAATATAGGTAAAATTTAAAACTTATAAATATCTAATAATGCTTTATATTTTGCTTTTATGGCATACCACTACAGACACATAAAAGTAGAATTATCTAAGATACTTTCCTAATTTCTAATTCTGAAAACTATAAAAAATGTTAAAATTATGTTACATATTTTTCAAAAATAAAAATAACAGCCTGTCACCAACTTTATAGGAAAACAATAGGTACATAAGTTCTGGTATATTAGTAAGTTAATCTTGGAGAAAAAAAAAGGTTCAGGTATATTTGAGTATGAAAACACAAATGGTTTCAAATTCTCATTAAACTGCAAATTTCTCTAAATGCACATTTGGCAGAAAGATGGATTGTCAGCCAATATACAATAGCATGCCAATGGCTTACATTCTCAAATATTGAAAATACTGGGTTGGAAAGTTAGACATATTTAAATGAGCCTTAGACCTTCTATTACTAAAAATCAAGATCTTACTTCAGTTACTACTTGGCACTGGTAAGGAAAAGTCTGAACCATTTATACAAAATAGATTAACTTTATTTTCTGTTTCACACATAGCTGTCCAGGTGATTTCTTTTGAGAACTGAAAAGTTACTATTTGTGATGCAAGTTCTAGCACTGGCCATCCCTAAATGGATACTCTATTAGCATACTGGCACAATTTGGTCTTCAGATATACCGCATGAACATATTATTCTAAGATACTTTGGTCCTCCTGGTGACTGACTATAGTTTCTTGGATTGGAATTCAAGATAGGCTCATTGTAGAATGAATTCCAAGTTACAGTACACTGTTTAAAGTAAGGCTCCAATGTATTTTGGAAATGTAATAACAAGCTGTAGCTTCTTTTCATGTTCACTGGAAAAAGCAAGTATATAACTGCTACCTTAGGTCACTGGATATACATCTTTCCACAAAGCATGTCTGTTACATACACTGTAAGTAACTTAGCTTTCAGCTAAGCAATTATTTGGTAGTAGTAATGGTCTTTATTTTATGGCTTTTAAAATATTTATATCCTTAAATATTTGAAAAAGTATTCACTATATTCTCATAGTTCATGAACAGATGTGAACATCAGCTTGAAAAATTATGACTTAAAAAAAGTATTCAATGACAAATGTTCAAACAAAAAAAAAATCATTTAAAAGTTCCACACATGATCACTTTCACAAAATGAATCTATAAATCTTGCTTCTTTGTCAAGAGTGTGGGAAACAAGAACACAAAAAGCTTCTGCTAAAGTCTGGATACATTCACAGTTTTGTTTTGTTTTGTTTTTTTTTCATTTTTAAAACAATTCATTTTTGGCTGTCTAGGGTTTTAAAAGATAATGTTATTAAAGTTCCCTCAATATAGCTTCACCAATTCACCATATAGGCTTCAATTAAGATGAACATTTGTTTAAAGATTTATATGAAAAAATGTAGTACATTTCCCCTCCAAAAGTTAACTATACACATTTAATAACATTACATATGATTAATGAAAAGGCTACATAAGGCTTTTAGGAAGCTCAAAGTTTAAACAAGTTTTAGCAGGTACATCAGCTGATTTTGCATTGTAACTCTGATGATAAAATTAACCAACAAATAAACCACAAAACCTTACTTAGGATGGGAAAAGAATGTAGTGTATTTATTTTGAAGATAGAACCACAATTCTTTTCCCTAAGTTGGAAAAACTTGGGCAAAATTAGTTTTGTATAGGCCTGTAGCTTGAACCTATGACTGAGACACAAGAGATTTTAAACAATGTTTCAAACTATTTGGGTTTTAAATACAAAATTTTAGGAGAAGACCCATAGTATATATTCAGATATCACAGTTATTTGCTATTTTCTGATTCTTAAAGTAAGGAGGAATTATATTAAATGATCTATAGTCTCCTCACCTACATCTATAGTTGTGATTATATTTTTTGCTTTTAAATAGTTAAGATTATGTCTCAAAGTTGTCTAAATAGACAGCATTGGCCCTGAATTAAAGATCTCTTCCACTTCTTTTCTGTCTTTTAGTTCCTTATAGTCAGTTATTAGTAGGAAACAAATGTCACGTATTTTACTTACTTGATTTTTAATCCCTGGCTCTGTGTCCTCCCCTCCTGTCTCCAGAGCCCACAGTGATCAGCACATGGTAAATGCTCAATACTTACTGAATGTTCTTGAATGAATAGCAAATATTAAGGATGGATCAAGAATTAAAAAGAATCTGGAGGTAAAAGTTGCTTTTATAAAACCCCCAAATGACAACTTCCAATTTTCTAGTTTCCTTTGCAGATTTACTTTGGTTTGTCTTTGTAAATAATAGCAAGGAAGTATGGCACAAGGATATACGGTCAAATCATTATAGGTAAAATACCAGTAAGGACACATAAAAAAATTTAAGTTTTCATTCATGTATTGAAGAAATGAATTTTATTTACACTACTAATAGATCCCAGATACTCCAGTTACTTTGAGATATAATTATCTTATTAATGCCAAGAAAAATATCTTCCAGTATTTCAGTTTTAACAAATGTAATTAAATTGCTTATTCTATAGAGTAAGAAGCAACTAATGAATCTTTTTGGAAATAAAAAATAGGTATATACATTACCCTGATGCCTAAGCCAAAATATATCTAACAACAAATTTTCTTGATTTTATTAGTCATAAAAATAAAGGAAAAATATATTGCAAGTATTTTCTTATAGACAATTTCAATTAGAAAACAATAGTTTAATGAAAACAATACAGAGGTTCATGTGAGTGAACTGATATGGAGGCAAGAAGTATTCAAAACGTGACAGATGACAGTATTGTCAAATATAACTAAAGAATATCTGCCTCAGTGACACCATTTACAGGTGGTAATTAGAGTTTTACATATCTTCATTTTTTCTTTTATTTAAGGAAAATGCAAATCAGTAGGTTATGACCCTAAGTTGTAATTAAGAACCCCTTCTTTTAGCTTGTATGATGTAGCCTTTTGATTTGATAATTCCTCTACTTTTAACAATGACCGAATATCGGAGCAGCCACAGTGGCACCCAGTCATGTGCTTGTATGTCAGGGATGCTCTCTCGAAGAGCTTCTTGGAAACTTGCTTCAGAAAGCAGTTCTTAGAAAACAAAAAAACAACAAATAAAAACCCTAAGTGTTAAATTTGAAAGCAAAAGCACTTTACTATGCTGGTACGCATTAAAATACAACGAAAGAAACATTTTGAAAATGAATCTGAAGCAAAGTATCAGCAAGACCCAAGCTATTCTTTAGAATGTATCTACACTTGTACTCTAGCTTATTTCACTAGTGACTACTTCTAGAGTGTGGAATCTGCATATTTGTTTTGAAGATCTCTGGGTGAGTATAACATTAGACTACATAGGAAGGTAAAAAGAGATTAAAAGCAAAAAAAGTCATCCATCATTCTTTCAAATTGGAGATGGACAATATCTGCTCTTCATATCTCTAAAACTAGAAATCATACTTTAGTTACAGCCTAATTTACTTATTTTTCACATTTATATATTTCCCATGTAGTAACATATTCTGTGAAATTATTTTAAATAATTCTCCCACTACTACACTATATAGACATAACATGTATTTCCTTATTGCTGGTCAAGAAATATATAGGTTCTCCCTAACATTTTGGTAATAAAATAATGCTATGATGAACATTCTTATGCCTAACTATGTAACAACAGTATAAGGACACTTTTAAGGATTGATATGTAGCGTACTCTGCCACTTGCTGTCCAGAAAAACTGTACTTTACATATTTTTACCAGTAGCTGATAATGCTAGAGCGCCATGCCAATCTTACTATTTCCTTATGAGAACCAGTACTTGTTTAAAAAGTCTGTGATGGTTATCTTTTGAGTATCTTTGATAAAGTCATTATTCTAATTCACATTTATATTTAAGGCTTCAAACACTGTTCTGATATACCACTCCCCTGCTTACTTGTCTTCTGTCCCCATTTGGATGGATCTAGAAATTCTCAACTACATTCATACCTTGGGGCCTGTGAATCCATTTGCTCTTCCCTGGACACTTTTATTCCTTAGCTAACTTTTCTTCACAGCATATACCACCACTTATCACATTTAATGTTTATGTTTACTGTCTGTCTCCTCTCACTAGAATATAAATTCCATGAGGGGTAGAATTTGTCTAACTTAATCCTTTATTCTCTAGTACTTAGGACAATGCCTGGTACATAAGTGTTTCATATGAAAAGATTCCACCAGTGTCAGAACCAACCACACAGACGGTAGTAAGTGACCCTCTATTCACAGTATGATTTGGGAGCACTTAAAGGACTCACCTGCCCTGAAGGAAATGCTGTGATATTTGAACAGCATCAATAGTAAACTCTCATCAACTGTCAATTATATGGTGTGCCACCACTTTTCTGAATACTTTACATGTATGAACTCATTCTGAACTCACAGGTTAACCCTATGAGAGACGGTAATACCCCCTTTACAGAGGAAAAATGCATCTGGGAGTTGAGATAACTTACCCAAGGACAGACAACTAGTAAAAGGTAATTTACATAAATAGAATGCAAATGTGTCTTTGGAAAAGTAATACTGCTATGGATTTATTAGGTTGTGTGAGAAGAGGACCCTGAGGGAATGAGATTAGATTTAATGGGTGTGGGGGAAGGGATAAAGCAAATATAAAGGGGAAAGTTTTAAAGTCAGAATTACCTACATCACAATTTTACCTTGAATGTAGTTAAACTGTTACCACAACTTCTAGGACAAAGAGTAATGGAAAATAAACCTTTTCTGAGGAATAAGGGTAATTTTAGAACAGAGGTGTGCCTTTAGGGGGGTTATAAACTAAGTTCTATTTTAGGTGGTAAGAGTTAAATGTTTTACAACTTGATTGCTGAAAAAATAAAAAATTTGACACAAAATCAGAACTATGCTATTCATTCATTAACTTAATTACATCTTTTAATTCAATTATTATCACTAGAATCAGTAAATGACAAATTCGTTAAGAATTCCTTCATTTCAGATCAAAGTTTCTGAAGATCAGTTTATAAATTATTTCTCCCTTTTTCTGTTCTTTGTCTTCATTATTTTTGGGTTTTTTGTACCTATGTTAAAGTTATAAGACAACCATGTGTCAAATTACATCAGTAGTAAAAATACCAAAAGAAGAAATCTACCTCCTCATATAGATGAAGTATATTTTTTCACAACAATAATGTATAGCCTGTAACTCACATATCAACAATAATGTATAGTCTGTAACTCACATGTCAACATCCTAATTAAGTAATTTAGATAACATGGAAATAAAATACTAAACACCCTTGTCTTTTCCTATTTCCTCTTTTACTGGAAAAAGAATAGTATTTTTTTTGTCCCTTCAAAGAGAGCTAGAATAAGGAATAGGCTCATCCACCAACTTTTAGTAGTAATTGCTGCTGTAAGAGTTCTCCCAAAGTAAACAGATAAATTTATATAATACCTGCTAATATATGTAAAATTAAAATTTAAAGCCACCTGGTTGACTTGACTAGTTATTTTAATCTGAGGCTCTACTTTCTCATTAACAAAATGCCTATTTTCAGCTGTTGTGAGGATGACAGATATCTCTACCATATTTAGTTTGATGCCTAGCATTGAGGAATAATAACTATAAAAACTCCCTTTCCACTCCCAATGAAACAGCAAAAGAAAAGACAAACAACCCCCCCCCCGCAAAAAAAAAACCAACCAAACAAAAAAAAACCCACAAGACTGTAATTGCTAAAAAATAGCATAAAATCTTCAGAGGTTATCTATAAACATTCTAAAAATAAACAAGTTGAATCAAATCACCATTATTCTGTCATCTTTTTAGGCATGGAAGTAAAAGCTGAATGTTCTTTCTCTAGGAATCATCTATAAAATAGGATTTCCTTTATTAATAGACTAGTATTAGTAAACAGCATTTAATAAACTAGAAGCTATATAGAAATGCCATGGAGTTTTGAAACTTTCACAAGACATTTCTCACTTATCACTATGCCAAAAATAGTGTTTCACAGAGCCCACATATTTACTAAGTAAAACTCTTCTCTCTATGAAACAGTGAAAAATGAGGGGGAAGTATGGGAAAAAAAATAGTAAAAAAATGAGAAGATGCTGAATAGTATAAAGTGTTATTCCAGCTTTTCTAGTAATCTTGCAAAACAGTAATAAAAAATTACTCTGCATCAAATAGGTAAGTCATTCTCTAGCCCAATATTTTTGATTAACACCAAACATGGGTGACTTGAAAATATTAAAATATTCAATCAATCACCTATCTTACGATGCTTAAGTTTCAAATTAAAATGTATAAGGTCTTTTCCCAGATATCCTTTTTAATTAAGTGGCTCTTTGGTGCAATCTTTGCTGTACTAGACAATTCTACATATTTAGAATATTTTAAAAGATCTCTTCTGTTTAGTTTAGTATTTATAAACCTCAACAAACCAGATGTTCAGGAAATAATCACTGATTTTTCCCTGCCTTGGTACAAAGACAAAACTATACCTGCTGAAAATAAAATGAAGGCATATATGTTTTGAACGAACCAGTAAGAATTCAAGGTAATAGCATGATACATTTATCAACATACACAATTAAAAGTTAAATTTTAAGACGTAGCTCCTTATAAGATATCATTACCAATTTCTATTAATGAAAACATCAGTGTTACCTTTTGGATCATTATGAGTTAATAGCTGTATGTCAAATTGTTTAGCGAATGCAGTCAAATCGGGTGGCATCACACAGCATGAGGCAAGATTAACTTGGTTACTATTTGGTTTTACCTAGAAGTGAAAAAAAAAATGACATCCTAATTAAGTAATACAAAAATTGAAAGTAATAGAGGACTCAATTCTAGAACATACAAAATGTAACATTCTACAGTGCTTAGTCTATAATTTTACATGAATGTGTTAATACATGCTTTTCTAGTTCATGTCAATGGTAACGGAAAGATAATAGCTCTACAAGGAGAAAAAGTCACTATATACTATTAAAAAGTCTCATGCTAGAACCTATAATCTAAAATATCTGCCTCACAAACAAACATGATTCTAGTGTGATGGTTCTAGTTATAGAGGGACTATGTCTTTTTTTTTTTTAAATAGAGGCATGTTTTATTTATTTATTTTATTTGTTTGTTTGTTTTGTTTATACATGCACTGGGTACAGTCAGAAGCGCGGGAGGGTGAGAGAATTCACCAGAGCCAGAGTGGGGAGCAGAGCAGGCAGAAGGACTGAAGTACACTGCTGAGGGGAGCAGCAGGCGGCAGGAGAGGTCTGCACGCCATGTGGGATCCTCCTCTGGTGGCTGGGGAGCAGCCAGGTATCGAACCTGGCACCGCAGAGGCCGCGGGCAGCTTCGCAGCCCAGCACTCAACCGCTGCGCCACCAGGGAGGCCCTAGAGGGACTATGTCTTAAAGGTATAGGATCAAATACAAATGATAAACATACTTAACATTAAGGGACAAAGTATAGTTATTAATCATTAACATTTTGAAAAAGAATTATATAATTTCTGTTAGATGCCCAGGTTAATTTAAAAATACATTCTAGATCAACCAAGCTTTCCCAGTAGGACTTTAGCCACATTCCAGCTATTATCAAAGGGAGAAGAGACAATAATTTTTCTAGGGTCTTCCTATCCATAGGAAACTGAAAGCTCTGAAAAGAACAAGGCTAAGGATGAAGTAAAAGAAATGAAGAAAAATAAATAGGGTAAAGATAAAACATGTAAGCAACTTCCCTAGTAATTTTGTAATTAGGTCAGAGAAGGGGTGATTAATTTATGACATTCCTTATTAAGTCATATAAACTAGACTCTTAAATATTCTTAAATAACAATCAGCAAAATATTTGATATATTTCACTAGTATTCCCTTCGGAAATTAGTCATTGCCTAATGAAAAATGAATTTTTTCATCAAACTGAAGGAAACAGCCATAATTCATCTGGCTATGAAAGCTTTGACATGTATTTTCTAGGGTTTTTATCATTCATTTTAAATCAGATTAAGTTCAATTAAACATGTATTTAAAAAGAAAATCCAATGCTTCACAATAAAACCTGCCTCAAAACTCCCACACTAGAGATCTGATGAACAGTATAGTAAATACTGATAATACTGTATTATAATCATCAAACTTGCTAAGAAACTAGAACTTAATTATTCCTGCCTCAATTATTCCTTATTCTTAAAAAGGATTAGCATGACAATCACATTAAAATATATAAATGTATCAAATGTCAACATGTAGAACTTGAATTTACACAATGTTGTGTGTCAAATGTATTTCCATAAAATGGCATTTTTATAAAACAAAAACCTCCCACATTTGGAATTGTCATCCCACACTAAGTGTCCCCAGTGTGCATGATGCTCAACAGTGTGCAGTAAAGAATGTAACAAGCAGACTTCTCCCAGAGTGGAGTGCGCATGAGCTACAGTTGTCCTTTACCTGTGCCCACTGATACAGCTGTTCCAACTGTGTTTTGTCTAGATCAGAGGTACCTATAGCAACAATCTTTTTGCTCTGAACTAAATTTTCTAATTCCTCCCAGTAAGGTTGCAAATGCTCCAAGGAAAGATTAACTCCATCTTCAATAGGAGGTGAAGCAATGATCACAGAATCCAGCTGTGCAACTCCAAGGACTGAGCAGGCTGATGTGAAGGAAAACAAAGATAAACATTTGTTATGTAGTAAAAATGAAGAAGCATTTTCTATATCCTCCAAGTATGACCACTGAATTCTGTCTTTATGGTGCACTAGTTTTCTACATGACAAATTATTTACTAATTTACAATATTCCCATTTAGAACATTAGATCTGCCATTGAGAATATTTCCACCATTTAAAATTGTGTAAGTACTTCTAACCTGCTTCCTTTCTGGGGAACTCACAGATATAATGGCTCCTCTTTCTAGGGGACACACCTCCTTCCTTCCTGGACCCAGGATTTTCTTGTAACCTTCTTATCCTCATAAACTTTTCAATTCTACTTGCTCACTAATATTGCATATGATCATGAGAATTCTAACTGGCTATCCTATATTTGGTAGCCATAGCAAAGAATAAACCTGATACTCTGAAAACTGTACCTATGTATTAATCTGTATTTATAGAGGTAGAGAATTTCTAACTCTCTTCAAGAGCTGATTTTTAATGATTATTACTTATTCCACAGTTATATTAAAGAACTAATTAGAGTTTCCAACATGTATAATACTGGAATGTTTTAAAAGAAAAAGCACAAGTTTTCCTGGCCAGGCTGGAGCAAGGCAGCACCAACTTGTGCACCAGGGGATGGCTGGTGCTCTGAGTCCGCTGAGGAAAGGGCTAGCGCTTCTGGGTGGGAGGTTCTTGGTGCTCAGAAATACACTGAAAGTCTCCAGAGAAGCAGCATCTGTAGATCTTCCAAATCGCCACACAACTGAAGGAATCAATGCCGGTTCTAAAGACACTGACAAACTTCCTGATGCCTAGCTCTCATTTATGTGTGGTGACAGTTTATTTCTCTGTTGTAAATCACCCATAATTAAAGAATATAGTAGAAATTTTTAAATTTGAAGAAAATTCTTTTTTGCATCTAAAAACAATTAAATGTGAGCTTTTTCCAAGTATTCAGAAAAGTACTTGTACTTACATTGGACAAACTTTGTTTACTACAGCACAAATAAAGTGGTAGCAGGAGAGATCAAGTGGGACTGGGAGTGGAAAGGAACTATTTCAGCCACCACACCCTGTGAACTGGAGCTGTGGAGAACCCTGCAAGATTCCCCGCGGTGGTGAGCGAACGGCTCCAGGCGCCATTAGAGAACAACAGAGACTCTGGAGACCTGCACACAGCCCCGGGCCGGCTGGTAAGCTTGCGCAGAAAAGCGGCGCGCTTCAAAAGCAAATGAAGATCGCGGCTGCCCAGGTCCCCGCGCCTGCGACCTAGGCTTGCGGGGAGACGCGGAGGCCCTCACTGAGGTGAAAGTTCCTCACTGAGTAATCAGGAACCAGGCGCCCAGGCACGGGAGCGGGGTGCAAAAGGCGCCATTCCTGCGGCCACTGAACTGGGCTACAGCCTGCATCCTGGACCTGAGGGCTTTGGAACAGAGACCCGGGGCACGAAATTCGGGGCGTGGGTTCTCCACGACAGTGGGGCACAAGGCAGACACAGCACCCCAAAGCCGTTGAGGTTTACCCTACCATTCCTGCTCTGTTCCCTGTCCCACGGGGGGAAAAACAGCCCCCCAAGGACAATAGGAGAAATCTCTGGCGCCACCTAGTGACCAGAAAAAAAAAGTCACTAACACCCCATAGAACAGGGAAATTTCTTCAGAAAAGACTGCTTGAAAAGGGCAGAAGGCTCCCGGAGGAGCCAGTGGCCAGCTGGGAAGTTAGCCCACGCCAGGCCCCTTCCGACCAGCGGTCTGAGCCCACAGGGGGAGCGGGCACCAACGGCCGGGGCAGACCGGGCGCGCAGAAGAGTGTGCCTGAGACCGGATGCGCAGGGACTGCGTCCCGCATCGCCATTTTAGAACAGGGACATTTCTTCAGTAAAGACTGCCTGAAACCAGCAGAAAGCTCCCTCAGAAGCCAGAGATGGCTCCTGGAGGAGCCAGAGGGGAGCAGAGAAGTTCACCCAAGATGCCGGCCAGTCCCAGCAACACAGTGTCCCAATGCATATGACAAATTAGAAAACAGACAGTAGGGAGTAGAAGAACCACACACAACCTAACAACTCCTCAGGAAAAAAGCACACCACAAAAAGAAAACCACCTCCCAGATTGCAACGACAGTAACTTGGAAGAACTTTTGAGCCTTCCAGAAAGAGAATTTAAAATTGCCATGATTAAAAAATTGACAGAACTCATAAAGGAAAAGAATGATATGAGAAAAATAATAAATGATCAGAAGAATGAAATTGAGTCCCTAAAGGGGGAAGCAAAAGAAACACAGGAGATCAAAGAATTAATGGAGGAACTAAAGAACTCTGGGAAAAGAAACTATACTACAAAGTCATAATCATCAAAACTGCATGGTACTGGAACAAGAACAGACATACAGACCAATGGAATCAAATAGAAAATCCAGATATAAACCCACAGATTTATGGTCAACTAATCTTTGAGAAAGGAGCAAAGACTATGCATTGGAGCAAAGAAAGTTTGTTCAATAAATGGTGCTGGGAAAACTGGGTCGCTACATGCAAAAGAATGAAGCTTGACCACTCCCTCACACCATACACAAAAATCAACTCAAAATGGATTAAAGAACTAGACATAATACCTGAAACCATAAAATACATAGAAGGAAAGATAGGCGAAACACTACGTGATTTGCACATCAAAGACATCTTTACAGACACATCACCCAAAGCAGTGATAGTGAAGGCAAAGATAAACAGCTGGGACTACATCAAATTAAAGAGGTTCTGCACAGCAAAAGAGACAATAACAAAAACAAAGAGAAACCCCACCAACTGGGAGAACATTTTTGCACATAACACTAATGATAAAGGACTGATCACAAAAATCTGCAAAGAGCTGATGAGACTCAACAACAACAAAGAAAATAATCCAGTCAAAAATGGGCAGAAGAGCTAAAAAGAAACTTCTCTGAAGAGGAAATGCAAATGGCCAACAGGCATATGAAAAAATGTTCAACATCACTTGTAATCAGGGAAATGCAAATCAAAACTACCATGAGATACCATCTTACACCAGTGAGAATGGCACATATTAAAAAAACTAGCAACAACAAATGTTGGCGAGGGTGTGGAGAAAAAGGAACTCTTCTGCACTGTTGGTGGGAGTGCAAACTGGTCCAACCACTATGGAGAGCTGTGTGGAGATTTCTGGACCTACTAAACATAGAGGTTCCATATGATCCAGCAATTCCACTCCTAGGTATTTACCCAAAGGACACAGAAACATCAATTCCAAAGAACACCTGCACCCCTATGTTTATAGCAGCTCTATTTACAATAGCTAAGCTTTGGAAACAGCCCAAATGCCCAAAATATAGATGACTTGATCAAGAAGATGTGGTACATATATAACATGGAATATTACTCAGCATTCAAAAAAGATAAACACATGCAATTTGCAGCAACATGGATGGCGCTGGAAGGGATCATGCTCAGCGAAATAAGCCAGAAAGAAAAAGAAAAATACTGGATGGTCTCACTCATAGCAGGAATCTAGAAAACTTAAATAAGGGACCAGGAAAATGAATAACTATAAGAAAGTGAAAATCAAAATCAACAAAAAACTATGAACCAGAGACACTTTTTGGGGGGTGGGGGGCGGGAGGGGAGGGATTGGGGTCAGAATGGGGGGGTTGTAATTGTATGGGGAATATAAAAATAAAATTTATTATTTAAAAAAAAAGTGATAGCAGGAGAATTTGATTCAACAAATGAGATACTTCACCTGATTAAAAAAATACATCTATATTGTTGATATACTTGCTCATGAAATTTACTTTTTGGAAAAACTCCCTAATATGAATTTAACTCAACTGAAGATACTCAAGTTGGATATGCTGGTGAATAATTTACCTATCCACCCTTACTTGTGGGGTGTATGGATAGGTTGTTGCCCTCATGACCAGAAGCTCTTCGTTTATGACTGAACAATCATCCCTCATAAGAGCTTCTCCGCATCCAGAAGCCTACAATGACTATAGTTTATGTCAACAACAGATATGTTCTACAGGGACAGTCTGTGGCCTCGGTATTTGACAGGAAACTGCTCAGAGGCACTTTATACCACAGAGCCCTGTACCGTGAACTCTAAATTATACTTTTGGTATAAATTAGCAATTAATTGCTAATCTGAGCAAATTTAACAAAGTTGATCTGGAAATGTATTACAGTATAATTAATTTTATTTCAGTAAGGGTCCCTTTGGCTCTTAAAGCACTTTTAATATAAAAGGAAAAAAAGTCTTTAAAAACGCTAAGTAAAGAAGAAAACTACCTTCAGTAAAGTGAATATACTTGACACAAAATAAGCCTCATCTCGGCCTTCCATCTCCCTGAGCATAGCTCCACTGAAACCTGGTACACTGTATTTTCTTAAAATGTGAGTGACCTCAGTCAGCTCTAACAGTGTGACCACTGGGACTGGTCAGAACAGTGGATACATAACATACTTTGAGGTCTTGTATTTAAATCTTTTTTTTACTGTTAAAGAGTTGGAATTATATTGAAGATTTAACAAATCTCTGAAAAGAAAATGAATGAATAGCTGTAACCTAACCAGGTACTGAAAGTAGATATAAAATGCTTGGGTTTTTTTGTTGTTGTTATTGTTTTGGTATTTCACCTACAGCACTAAAAGGGCTAAGAATGTGACTAAGGAGAAATTCTAACCCAAACCATAGATATAACATTAAAATGTTACAACTTGTACATCCCTTTTCTATATCAAAATATGACCCTATATAAAAATATAAGATTCTATAGAAGCCTTAAGAAATTAGGTTAGAATTTTAAAAGGTAAAATAGCCTCATTTTCTTTTTTATTATTGTCTTTTTTTAAACTGACATAATGTTGGTTTACAACACTCTATAAGACTCAAGAGGCACAGGATCATTCCATTTCAGACATATGTTACCACACCATGCCCACCACCAAGGCCCCCATAATCCTCCACCACAGTCTACTGGATCCCTTCCCCTACTTTGCTCACCAAGTTCATTTCTTTTATACCTGGAATGGAACACAAGTTACAACTACCATACCTACACTAATTTAAAGTCTACTATGAAGATAAAAAGTGAAATTTTTGCTTACCCATGTCAACTGCACTTCTAGTTGACGATGAGGAGTTTGAGCCTACGATGAACAGTTTTGCTGGATAACAGAAAACAAAACTGATTACTATATTTGGGTAACATTCTATAACATAATATTAACACTGTTATAATACTAAGATAATGGATAATCTTGAATGAATTATTTTTCCTTTCTCAGTCACAAATTCTCTACTTTTCATTTTTTGAGGCATTAAAAAGTATATTTCCAGTCATTTTTAATTATATACTAGTTAGCAACAAATAGATGTCAAAACAAAAACAGCAATATTAATTTCCTATCAGAAGGCTGAATTAAACATTAATAGAGCATACACTTAACTGAAATTTATATAAAGATTAAATTAAAATTAATCTTACTAAAAAGGTAATTGGAAAAAAAACCATCAATAGTCCCACATCCCTGATACAATCATTTTTACTTTGAGGCATTATCTGCCAGTTCTTGGTTTCTACTTCTATTTGGCTTACCTTTATGTAATAAATATTTTTAATGTTTATGCAATTGTTATCTTAAAATTATTTTTTATCATAATACTAATATTTTTGCTCTACAAGTGAGAAAAACTTATAAAATAAAAAATACTGCAAATACCTCATTGTTTAAAGTAATTATGGTTTAGATTTTTGGCTACTTTGTCTTAGATAATTTTACATATTCACTTTTCATGCGTGAACATTATTTTGTAATTCTAATACGGTATAATTTAATAAATGCTTTCCTGTTTTTGAACATAGGAGGTTTGTTTCATCTTTTTGTTATCACATATAAATACTAAAACACCTTGGTAACTTTCTGTTCATCTTTATGCTGCAGCAATTTCCAAAAACAAACTATCAGAAATGTGATGAGTCACAGGATATGATCCTTTTTGTGCATCTTTTTCTATTTTATTTACTTCCTACTTTATGAAAGATTTGTACCAGTTTACTAGATCACTTACAGTTAAGAGTTGCAGTCCTAACACAGGATGCTATTTGAAAAAAAAGATACACATACACATACACACATCTTTTGCTAAGTCAACAGGCACAATATATACCTGCCCAGGACCACATTAATTGGCATTTCTTTGGTTACCAAGAAAATTAAGTAGTTTTCTATATTTACAAGGTTGAAGTTTTAGCTTGACAGGAACTCAAAACTTTAAGTGTATATCTTTACGTAAACCCACTATTCAAAACCTAAATTTACTCAACAGGCAATCAGATAGAGGGGTAGGTGAGCAAGAAGAGAAAAAATCAGAAAGAAATGGAGAGAAAATAGGGCAATGAAATACCTTATGTAAAGTGAATGGTATTTGATATACACAATACATTTTCCTTGTACAATCTTTCTTATATTTATCCATTCCTTCTATTGCCAATAACCTTGCTAAAACACTGCTCCCCTCACATCACCTCTTTACTTAAAAACCATGACACAGCTCCCCTACTAGGTGAGTCAACCTACACTACTTTGGTCCCACCTTAGCTCCCATTATTGTGCTCTGATATAAACTCTCCTCAGTAATATGCCTCTGGTCCTAAGTTTGTGCCCTTGAAATGGTTTCCTCTCTCTTTGAAAGATGAGGCATTTTTAGGTTAGTAGAGAAAGGAAAGGTCTTCATATGGGGAAGATTTTGATACCTATCAAAAATAGTAAGCCCTCTGTGAACTGAGAACTTGAAAGAGCTCCAAGATGGATCTAAACCATGAACTACAATCAACCACAGAAAAAATGCTTCTTTTACTTCCTTCTCAAGACAAATTATCAATTTGAAATGAACATAAAAAAGAGGTGTCATGTCAGGTACACCTGGATGAACCCTAGGTTCAACCATTTACTGGCTGCATGACAACTTTCAAGTTATTTAATGTCACCTGTGTAATGGGGTAATAGACCTATATAAATGGAAATATACCCATAAAGTGCCAAATACAGTGCCTGGTGCAAAGTAAGATCTAACAAATGGCAGTTGTTATGATTACAGTCAAATGACAATGCCATATCTTTTCTTTCTTGTCCATCCCAATAATGACTGCCACCACTACCACCAACACCTCAGTAACGACATGGTAATAAATAATAGCTAGCTAGCACTTACTCTGTGCAAGCACTGTGCTAAGTGCTTCTTTTGTTATTTCATCTAACTTACACAGAAGCCCATAAAACAGATGCATCCCCATTTATAGGTGGGTAAACTAAATAAGACTCAGAGAGATTAAATAATTTGTTAGCTCAAGATTACAGCAATATACCTGTATACTCAGGAGTTTTAATCTAGTCAAGGTTAATTTTTTAATAACTATGCTGTGCTGACTGAAAGCTGAGGGCAAGAACAGCACATCTTTTCATTAATTGAGCCAATCATGGTTTCTGCAAAGTAGTAGTCAATATATTTGTTGAAATGGGTGTAATTTGTTGCCCATACTTTTTCCTATACATAGTCCAGCAAGTTCAGCCATCGCTTACATTGTTTCACTAAGAAGGGAGGACTTACTCCTTTTGGAAAGACAATGCTCTCAAGTCTTCCATTTATTCTTTCCACATCCTCCACCTTAATCTGCCTACTGGCCTGAAGTCTGACACTTAAAGAGGTCATCATGAAGAACAGAAAGATGAGGTTTTATTCTGACCCTACTGAAGTAGCCAACCAACAATGACCTCCTCTTAGAGTTGACATTAAAATTATGTTAAAACTGGGTCTCCCTAGTGGTGCAGTGGGTTGAGCACAATGCTGTGAAGCTGTCCGCAGCCTCTGCAGTGCAGGTTCGATCCCGGCCCCAGCTGGGCGAGAATCCCACATGGTGCGGCAGACCTCTCCTGTTGCACCCGCTGCTCCTCTCAGTGTATTTCTGTCGTCTGCCTAGTCTCCTCCCTGCTCTGTCTCTGATGAATCCTCTCACCCTCCCACACCTCTGGCGTGTACCCCAGCTCTTGTATAAAAATAAATAAATCTTTTAAAAAAATGATGTTTAAACAGAATCTTTATATTTCCCATACTTCATATATTCCACACTGAGTTGCTCATTACCAGAAGGAAAGAAAACCTTATTCCCATGCCTGATAAAACCTTACTCCATCACTTCCACAAAATGAATTGTAAAGGTTGAACTTTACCAGAAACTTTCATTTCTTCTCTTTCATCAGGATTTATCTTTTCTACTGCATGAGATACAGTACATTCTAAGACATCTGGAAACTCCTATAATAAACAAATATTTACAATAAATTAATGTTTCTGATTAATTTATCTATTGTCCATAATGTCCTTTAGAAGCAGAGCATCTTTAAGACAACAGGGTTTTTGACCTGAGGTATGGATGGTTATATAAGGTTTATAAAACTTTGAAATAAAGGCAGTTTGTGCTGTATGTGTGTGTTCATTTTCTGCAAAAAGCATTTCATTTTGACCAGGAACTCAGAGGGATTGCATAACAAAAAATAAAAAAAGTGGTGGTGGGACAGGGGGTTATGTAAGGAATTAGAATCACTAACACAACAAATAATTTTACTTAGCAACCAATAAAAAATAAAAATTTATTACACATTCTGGACAATGACATATTAAAAACCTTGTATATTAACCAGAAACATTTTATATGGAAATATTTTCTTCTGAGCACAAAAATAAAGGTCATTTCAATGCATAGTAATGAATTGTTTATGAGGAATATGATAAAATGCTAGCACACATAAATCAGAAACATTAATTCACATTTACAAGATTAAAACAAAATAAACAATGAGAACTTTCCCCATGATTCTTGAGCACATGACAACGGCTGGCATATATCAGGGACTCATTACGTGTTTATAGTCATGCATAAATGTAGTGGTCATTTCAGAGAAAGAGACTGACAAAAGACATTAGTCAATGTCTGCCTAATGATTGTAGAGTACTCAATTTGCAGTGTGCCTAGGAGAACAAGTATTTCAGCACGTACCCTCTCCCATGCTTTAAAAGTAGTTTATGTAATTTGTTATGAGCCTTTGGTTGAGCTACATTCCAGAGTGCTTTACAGACACGTACTCTGTATATTGACATTATAATAATAACTGTATACTAATATTTAATGAAACATAGTTCCTTTACCATTTCACCAGAAACTAGTATTTCAAAAATTCTAGTGATTATATTAATGCAGTGGTAATTGATCAAAGAAATCTAGCAACCAAAACTTTTTTTTAATTTTTTTTTTTTTTACATCACTGTTCATTTTTAAACACCCTCAGGTGAAGTCCCCATAGAGTTTCCTTCACCAATGCACCCATACACTGTCACCTCAGTCCCCTGTGCTCCTCCCTCCGTCCCTCTGATCCCTCTCCCTCCTCCTCCCCTGAAGTATGTCTCTGATTTATAATTGTCCATTTTTGCTTTGTTGTGTTTTGTACTGTTATTATTTTATTACACTGATGTCTTATTTGGTTCCCCTATATTCCTGCTGTAAGTGAAACCATCCAATATTTTTCTTTTTCCTTCTGGCTTATTTCACTGAGCGTAATTCCTTCTAGTTTCATCCACGTTGCTGCAAATGGCATGAGTTTATCTTTTTTTGATTGCTGAGTAATATTCCATTGTGTATATATATATGCCACATCTTTTTGATCCAGTCATCTATTTTTGCAACCAAAATTTTTTGACAGCTATTCTATTAGACCAAATTTGAACTGGAAGGAAGTGCATTGTGAGGAAACTGTGGTGGAAATTAAGCTCAGAGAATTCTAGTGCTTGTCTAGTTTAAGGATTGAATACAAAGACTATGCTAGGGCAGACTGCCATCTCAGCAAATCAGTCACAGGGAGTTTTGTGCTATCTATTGAACTTCTCTATCAAAACCGAGGAAATTAATTTTCTGCTTACTTACTTCCCTTTTAACATACATGGTTTCTTCATTCACATTTTACTCACCCTGACCAAATCTGGGCTGATTTGGGAACTCCATTCATTCAAGGTCTTTTGGATACAATCTCGAAGCTGCAAAAGGAATGTATTTTGAAACAATTAAACTCTACACATTTTCCTGTACTTCTAAGACAAGGATTATTAGTTTGATAAGTAGAAAAAAAGATGTCAATAGGAAAAACAAGAAGTTTAGTTCTACAAAGTTTTTGTTTTCTTCAACAAAGATAAAATTAGACCTGTTGTTATCCTACTCTTAATTCTCAAATGTCCTAGATCTAAAGCAGTAATCTAATTATTTTAATGTGTTTTTGTACCAATGAAAATTTAAGTAAAATTTTCAGACATAAAAGTATTCATAAGGAAGCAATTTTTTTTTTTTCAAGAATAAGGTTTACTAAAGAGGAAATTGGATTCAAGTCTGGGCAGCCTGGCTAGAACTAATATTAACTATGTTATATTCCTCATAGACAAATGATTCTCTAAATGTGGCCACAGAAACTTCTATGGCAGGTCCATCTGTGGTGTTTATTAAAAATCCAAACTCCTGAACCCCAGCCTAGACCTGCTCAGTTGTTCTCCAAGGGTAGCAGAACTTTCATTAAGCATCCCAAATAATTCACATGTACTCTAAAGTCTAAGAACCACCACATCCATATCTTAGAGAGGTTAACTTTCATAGTATCAGTCTAAAAGTCACTTCACACTTAGGCACACCTCCACCCAATCTTCAATGTTTCCTTATGTAAACAAATGCATTTTCACACTAATGTTATAGTATATTGCAAATTCATTAAACTATTTATTCATCTTTTATCTCATGTCAGAGCATTTCAAACTTATTTGATAGTGGCCCAAAGTAAGCCATATATTCAAATTGAGGGCCTACATATATAGCAAAAATTTCACAAAATGGTATTTTTATTCACAACATGCCAGATATTTCGATCATTTCTGTTCTACTAAATATACTACTGCATGACTCACTAAATTGATTTATGACCATTAGTGGGCAATACTAGCAGTCTGAAACCACCACTTCATAACTATACAAGGATACAATGTTTTGTATTCTATGGGCAATCTATGAAAATATAAATGAATAACTAGAAACAAGTCCCTATATTGCAAAAGCACTTTCCTAATAGCAACAACAGAAACCAGACCTCTGAACTCACTACATAATCTATGATTGCTTAGGATTAAAACTGATACAAGCAGTTTACTGCTTATATTTTAGTAAAGATAATGATAAATAACTGCTTTAACAAATTAAGAGCTTAGTCACCTATGTTAAGATTTACAATCCACAACAATAATTTATGTGCTATCCACAATTATCCACATGAATTTACAAGGTCTATATCTTCATGGAAAACATATTTATAATTAAATTTAAGTCAGTAGGTAAAACCTAGCTGATAATGATTCCAGATAGGTTTAACTATCAGTATTCTTTTAAAAATTAGTAAAAGTTGCAGCAAGACAAATGATACAATTCTAGCAAGAGAGCTTTGGCTCAAAGTATGGGAGAATTTTTTTTTAAGTATTTATTTATTTATTTGTTTGTTTGTTTGTTTATACATACAAGCACTGGGTACAGTCCGAAGGGCGGGAGGGTGAGAGAATTCACCAGAACCAGAGCGGGGAGCAGAACAGGCAGGCTGACGAAATACACTGCTGAAGGGAGCAGCGGGCGGCAGGGGAGGTATGCGCGTCATGTGGGACCCTCGCACTGCGGCCGGGGATCGAACCAGCGCTGCAAAGGCTGCGGGCAGCTTCACAACCCAGCGCTCCACCGCTGCGCCACCGGGAGGCCCTCAAAGTATGGGAGAATTTTAAGAAATTTTTCTTTGGAAGGAGAATTGATTTGTACACTGAAGGCTTTCCTATGAATTCATCAATTCAGAAAGCTAAGAATATTTTCAAAATATTCACCTTCTCCTTGAAACAATTTACTTAATATTGAATTCTGCAAAATATCAGAACAGTCAAGTGTTACAATATTATGAGAAATTCATTGACTGAATCAAAAATTTAGTGATTTTTAATCTTTTACATGTTATCTACATCTATTGAACATTAACCCTGTACTGCTTTGCTCTCTGCTCTTTATTCTTGTCACACACATTTTATCACTGAAGGTATCATTATAATGCAGTATATTATTACACCTAGAGTGGTATTAGAGTTTAAAAGATACCACATGATTCAATTGGTCAACTACCTTACAATAAAGAACTGGGCAAAACAGTCCTGCCAGTAATGCATTTAAAAAACAATACTTGATTTCATAAAATTCTCATGAAACAGAAAACCTGGACAGTGGTCATGGAATTAAAAAAACCCAAAACCGAAACAAAAAAGTCTTTTAGGAAATTTAATTGAACTCTACTCAATGTGTAAATCTCAATGAGTAATTTGTTCAGTTTTTTTAATTCAATGAGGTTAAGCTAGGCTATCATATCAAATAGCATATCCCAATTTGGAGTTCTGGTTCTTATAAAACTCTTCTTTGCATAGAAAAATGCATCTTTATATTCTAACCACTGTTGTCATATTTCGCCTATATTTTCTTTTTTAAAGATTTATTTATTAATACAAGCACTGGGTACAGTCAGAAGCGCTGGAGGGTGAGAGAATTCACCAGAGCCAGAGCCGGGAGCAGAACAGGCAGACGGACTGAAGTACACTGCTGAGGGGAGTAGTGGGCACGGCAGGAGAGGTCTGCTCGCCATGTGGGACCCTCGGGGGTGGCCGGGGATTGAACTGGCGCTGCAGAGGCTGAAGGCAGCTTTGCAGCCCAGCACTCAACCACTGTGCCACAGGGGAGGCCCTCCCCTATATTTTCATGTTTTCTAGTTCTTTAGTTCTGTTCCTCTTATGTAGGCCCCAAATAAACAGAAAAACCAGAATTAGTCCTTTGAAAAATGTTATCAAGCTGTGTGGGGTGTGACTTATTACTGCATTAAAGAATCAGATTTTTAAATATTAAAATAGGACAGAAAAATTAGAATACATGGTATATAATATATGTCAATATCTTTTCATGAAACTTTTGTTATATTTACATAACTATGAACTGGATTAGAAGGTAAAATGCATTTCTCACTGGCCTTGTGGTCAAAAACTTTGAAAGCCACTACTTTCTAGAGTGTGTTGTAGTGAGATAAGAGCAATTCACACACAGTATTATTAATATACATGCAAAATGCTGCATTGAACCATTAGCACTGGAGGAAATTAAAGATCTAGCACTAAAACCAGAAATACTTACCTTTGAGAGAAATAGTACAAGTGGGATGGTTTAAATAAAACAAGACTTAAAAACTGAGCTGGAAAATGAATGCAGGATATAACAGATTCTGATTCCTATAAAGTTACAGCCAAGAGTTCTTATTTCATGTGGAGGCTTACTCCCAAGGCCAGGCCTGGGCACAGGTCCATATTCAGAGGGAAGTCATCTGCTGCAAAGTCTATCACCAACACCTTATCTAAAAGAGCAGAAACTGTCCAAGCACACAGCTGATAACATCACACTATGACACAGCTTAGGACGTTTTTTTCTTTTCATCAAATCTGCTTTATCTTTCTGACCTGAACCCATGATAGGGAGATAAATGTGTGCACGACATATTATCTCTTTTATTTTATTTTATTTTTTTAAAGATTTATTTATTTATACAAGCCCTGGGTACAGTCAGAAGCGCGGGAGGGTGAGAGAATTCACCAGAGCCAGAGCGGGGAGCAGAACAGGCAGAAGGACCGAAGTACACTGCTGAGGGGAGCAGCGGGCGGCAGGAGAGGTCTGCGCGCCATGCGGGACCCTCCTCCGGTGGCCGGGGAGCAGCCGGGGATCGAACCAGCGCTTCAGAGGCCGTGGTCAGCTTCGCAACCCAGCGCTCAACCGCTGCGCCACCAGGGAGGCCCTATGATCTCTCTAAATTCTCACAATGACCCTATGAGAAAAGTATCATCCAACTTTACAGCTGTGCAAACAGAGAGGGTCACTACCCCGCACTCACAGAACTCCTAAATTAAAGGTCTATCTTATTTAATTTTTAATCCTAAAATTGCACCGTACCAGCGACATGTCTCGGCAATTAAATGTCCACAGTCAACGACTGATTCTCCCACAGGAATGACCAGCTCAGCAACAAATATGTAATCTCAATTCCAGATCAATCTCTGCCACTTCAAGTGACAGCCTTTCGGCAAATCAACAGGCCGATTATTTTTCCGGCAAGAAAAACAAATACGTTATTTCACAGCCCAATTTGAGTGTTGACACTCTTGCCGCGCAGCAATAAACTGTCAACACCCTAAAAGCTAACTCTATTATTCACGTTACCTCACACGAATCCTCAAAAAGCTCATCTCTAAACTATTTCTTCACCGGGACACCGTGGAGGGCAGAGAACGCGAGGCAGGAGAGCGACCGAGCCAGGCACGGCCCCCTCGGAGTCCCTCGCAAGCACGTCCGAGGGTCTATCAGCTGGGCGCACCCCGAGAAGCGTCCCCCGTGAGAAGTTGCACCTGCCAAGTTTTTAAAAATGCGTGCCCCCCAGGAGGAGGAGGTTGGCCGGCGCCGAGGTGCAGACCCGCCGGCGAGCCCAGGGCGCGCCCCCCGGCCCCCGCCCGCGCGCACCGCCCACCGCCCGCCCGGGCCGCCTGCCCGCGGCCTGCCCTCCGCGCCCGGGCTCCGGGGCGCGCCCGCCCGGCCTCACCTCCTCGCTGTGCGTGGACGGGCACTTCTTCCGCAGGCGCCCCCAGTTGAGCAGGTTGCCCGTCTGCAGGTGCAGCGTGCGGGCCCGCGCCAGGAGCGCCCCGGCCGCGCGGCAGTCGGTGCCCATGGCAGCGGCCGACCGAGGGAGCCGAGCCGCAGCGGGGCCGCGGGCGGGGAAGGAGGCCGCCCCGGAGGACGCGGTGCCCGCGGCCGCAGAGCCGAGCGCGAGGCTGCCCGCGCCGCGTGGGGGTCCTCGGCCTGCGCTCCCACCCGGGGGAGGAGGGCGGCCGGCGGCGGAGCGGGGCCCGGGAAGGACGCGCCGCGTTGGCGGCTCCAGAGACCGCGGCCGCCGGCGGAGAGTTGACTCCCGAGTGAGGGAGCCGTTTCCTGGAAGACAATGACTAAGCAGAAATCGCGGCGCAGAAAGTGCTTCGTAACCGTTACCGTCCCGCGGCGGGGCCGGACGGGGCGGGGCGGGGCGGCGAGTGGGCTGCGGGGCGCCGGCCCGCGGGGGACTGGCCCTCGGCCTGCGCCGGGCGTGGCGCCTGGCGGCGGGCGGGCGCGCGACGGAGGGAGCGCCGGGCGCGCGGGGCGCGAGGGGCGGGGCGGGGCGGCGCGGGCTGGCGCGCGGCAGGGCGCCCCCTGTCGGCCAGAGGACGCCGCGCCGCGCGCCTCCTCAGGAAGCCGCCAAGTGCGCTCGCGGTCTCAACCCCCAGCCAATGGGCGGTCGCGCTGCTTCTCTGTCACACTTTCAAAATGACGGGGAAAGGGGCCTCCCTGGTGGCGCAGCGGGTGGAGCGCGGCGCTGTGAAGCTGTCCGCAGCCTCTGCCGCGGGGGTTTGTTTCCCGGCCCGTCAGGGAGATTCCCACACGGCGCGGCAGACCTCTCCTGTCTCGCCCGCTGCTCCCCTCAGCAGTGTATTTCAGTCAGTCTTTCTGTTCTGCTCCCCACTCTGTCTCTGGTGAATCCTCTCTCCCTCCCACGCCTCTGGCCTATGCCCCAGCTAGTGTATAAATAAAAAATAAATCTTTTTAAAAAATGACAGTGAAAGTATCTACCAAGGGTTTGAAATACTAGCTGGTTTTAGTTTTCAGAAGCAGGTGTCAGTGCACAAGTCAAGTGCCCCTTGTCCTTTGCTCCCCTCTTCGCTCATTTTCTTTTTGAAGGACTTTCCTCTCAAACTGTTCGCGTTTGTTTTGTTTTGTTTTAATAGGCGTTCATTAGAGGTTTATTGATTTAATCTATTTGCTGGGTAGTGTGTGAAGTCACAGACTAAAATTTAATCTTTGCCCTTAAGAAGCTTAAACTGTAGCATTTGAAACGGTTAAGAATATTTTATTCTTCTACAGGGCAGTTAATTTCCAGATGAGTTCAGGTTAAGAAGAACACTTAGAGCGGTGAGATCAGCGAAGATTTTTATCACCCATTCCCTTAATGGTGGTTGTGATACTTCTATTAAATTTTATAGTGTAGGCTTGGCGTGAACATTAAATTGAATTTCCTTGACACATTTGATCACAGAACACCTTTAAAAGTTGCAATGTAGGGCCTCCCTGGGGGCGCAAAGGGTTCAGCACTGCACTATGAAGCAGTCCGCAGCCTCTACAGCACAAATTTGATCCCCCCGCCTGCCAGCGAGCTACCCACATGGCACAGCTGACCTCTCCTGTCTCTCCCACTGCTCCCCTCAGCAGTGTATTTCAGTCAGTCTGCCTGTTTTGTTCACCGCTCTGTCTCTGGTGAATCTTTTCACACATACACACACACACATACACACACACACACACACACACACCCCACCCCGCACCTCTGGCCTGTACCCCAGTTTTAGTATGCATAAATAATAAATCTTTTTAAAAAAATTGCAATGTATCCTTGGAAGCCCTACAGGAGGCCATGAGTATGAGTTTTTAGATTAAAGCAGACAGCAAAAATGGTCTCATGGATGAAATAATTGTTGCAGGAAGTGATCACATTTTCATCCATAATATAGTTTTGCTTTATACAAGAACAAAATTTGATAATTAAAATGCATTTAACCTTATTAAGGGATCACCTGGTGAATTTTATTCTACTAAGTGAAATGGTTTTAAATTCTTCAATTTTGTTTTATTTTATTTTTTTTTTTTTTAATAGAGGCATGCTTTATTTATTTATTTTTTTTGTTGTTTATACATGCACTGGGTACAGTCAGAAGCACGGGAGGGTGAGAGAATTCACCAGAGCCAGAGCGCGGAGCAGAACAGGCAGAAGGACCGAAGTACACTGCTGAGGGGAGCAGCGGGCGGCAGGAGAGGTCTGCGCGCCATGTGGGACCCTCCTCCAGTGGCCGGGGAGCAGCCGGGGATCGAACCGGCGCCGCGGAGGCCGCGGGCAGCTTCGCAACCCAGCGCTCAACCGCTGCGCCACTGGGGAGGCCCCTTCAATTTTGTTTTAATTCCTGGAAATAGTATAATTGTGATGGTTGTAGTACCATACCCAGGAACAACTAATTGGGTCATGGCATTTGTAGAAGTGAGGACTTTTAAAAGAACTTCTCTAGGATTTTTCTGAAACCTAAGTCCTATGGAAATAATACTGTTGTTATTGTATTTCCCACATGGTTTGGAGGTGTAGATCCATGGTTTGTAATGGAACAGGGGCAGGTGCAGAGGATTGGAAATAACCATGACAGGAAAGGAACAGGAAAGGTAAACACCTACCCTTAAAGGGGAGGACAAAGAGGGTGTGATTGAGGGTCATTATCATAAGTCCAGGCTTTGACTTTGGTTTATGAAGCTTCTACAATTGCATTAAAGCACAGTCTTGACTCCAAATAATAAATGAGAAAAAAAAAACCCTTTAAAATAATATTCAATTATTCAATAGGCATTTCTTAAGTGTCTCATACTTGTCAGGTGCTGGAACAGTCACCACAAATTCACAATAAGCTAGGTGACACTTTATCCCTGTTCTCATGTACTTTATAGTCTAGTGGAGATGGCCAACTTTAATCATGTAATTATAATCAAATGTAAAGTTCTATGTGGTGGTTACTATGAGAAAGCAGTGCAGATGTCAAGTCTGCAAGTGTTTTTTACATGTAAAACTGTCATGGGAGTGACCCAATATGGAGAGATCTGGGAGAAGGCTCTGGCAGTCACCTAGACAGGGGTTGTGAGAACTTGGTTCTCAGTGAATGAAGCCAGCGAAGCTGTGATGCATTTTTGATAAATAGGCTACATATACCTTCATTTTGTCCTAGTTAGTAGAAAGGAGAGAAATCAGGTTACTATGATATGGTTAGCAAAATATGTATGATTCACTTAAAGCAAACAAGCAAAAGAGAAACTGGGGCAAGAGAAAAGCCAGGCAGTCAAAATGTAGCAATCAGCCCTTTAATGTTAATTTACCTTATCATAAACACACTACCAAACTGATGAAATCCTAGCACAGTCTGCCTCTTTAGTGATCAGTTTTTAGGTGTGTGGAGTAGGCTGAAGTCACTTTATGATAATTATCTATTAGCAGATTGAGGAGTGATCTACAAGTTTATATAGACAGTATTCCTCCAGCACAAATCAAGTGCTTGTAACATGGTAGGTTATCATCATTAAATATTTGTTGAATGAATAAATGAATGCTATTTCTGATAGTTTACTGAATGAATGAAAGCTGGAATGAGGTTTAACGTGCTAAATAGTCTCTGAGGTTGCAATCATCCTAATTATCCTGAATCAATGCTACTAAACTTTTGCTGCTGCAGCTGGATCCTAAGGAGGTAAAAAGGTTCCAAACAATCCTCTCTTCCCCATCCTCTGAGCCTAGTGGAAGGAGGGGAAAACAGAAAACCGTCGCTAAGAAATCAGGCAGGATGGGTAATCCCAAATGGGTTACACCTGGTAAAAAGAGACAGCTGGAATCAGTCATTACAGGCCTTACCATACACAGGACCCCCAAATTCCTGGAAAAATAAATGGCAAAAGTAACACTTATTCACTCATTCAGGAAGTTTTAATGAGTATCTAATGTATCTCATTGAAACTTTAGATTTATCTGTCATCTAAAGTCTGTCCTAAGGGATTTGGACTGGCTCTTGAAGACACAGGTATCCCTTTTAGAACAGAATACAATAGATGGCACTTAAAGATGATTTTAATGAAAACTTAAGGCTATTTTTCTTATTTTTTAAGAAAACAAAGGGATAGTGCAGTGGAATGTGTGGGAGATTGGCAGTCTTGCTAACAATTCCTATCATATGCTCTTTGCTCTGCACTATGGAATATTGTATACCTCTTCATGAAGCACTGTAGGCTGATCTCCAATTACTGACATGGTTTGCCAGTGGAACACAGACCACCATGCCTCACAGCTGTAGGAATTCCATGTGTTATTTGGTGATGTGTTCTGTGGTAGAAATCTCAAATTGGCACTCAATCTGCAATTCTGTTCAGAAGTCCCTTGCAGCTCTTTGTTCTAGGTACATATTAGATGACATCAATTCCAGGTACTGTTTTCGATTTCAAAGATAGAAATGTGGGGGCCTCCCCGGTGGCGCAGCGGTTGAGCGCTGGGTTGCGAACCTGCCCGCAGCCTCTGCGGCGCCGGTTCGATCCCTGGCTGCTCCCCGGCCACCGGAGGAGGGTCCCACATGGCGCGCAGACCTCTCCTGCCGCCCGCTGCTCCCCTCAGCAGTGTACTTCGGTCCTTCTGCCTGCTCTGCTCCCCGCTCTGGCTCTGGTGAATTCTCTCACCCTCCCGCACTTCTGAGTGTACCCAGTGCTTGTATAAAGAAAACAAACAAACAAATAAATAAACATGCCTCTATAAAAATTTAAAAAAAAAAAAAAAAAAACAAAGATAGAAATGTGATGGGGCACCCTCCTGCTTCTTCAGTTGGTGAATTTCACTGCAGTCATGTTCTGATGGCCTATCCCAGGCTTTGCAGCCTCCAGGCAGGTGTGGCCACCTTCTGATACCTTGGTCACAATCATGGCAAGAGGCTCTCAAACTCAGCAGATCCAGTGGCAACCTGATTGTCCTTCTTAATGGCCCAGAAGAGCAGCTTTTCTGGGAGGACTGTTGAGTGGTGTTCTTCTAACAGTCCTTCATGGAGGCCTAGTCCAGATCTTGTTTGTACAACCTTCAATTGTGTAAACACTCAGCTCCCTGTGTTAAATATTTATTGTGGTGAAATATACCTAACATAAAAGTTACTAACTATATTCTTGATAGTGGTGGTTAGTATCATTTCTTTTGTTACCTCCAATTTGAAAACAGTCTCTTAGATTCTGTAGGAGTCATACATTTTAAAGACTTGTCAAGCCACATTTCATTATATTTAATTTTATATTGATATAAACACAATAAGAAAGAGATAAAGAATGATGGTTAGACTTCATTAATGGAAGGAATCACATTTTATTTTTTATTTAATTTTTAAAAAAGATTTATTTTATTTATGCATACAAGAACTGGGGTATAGGCCAGAGGTGTGAGGTGGGTAGTAAGAAGATTCACCAGAGACAGAGTGGAGAGCAGAACAGGCAGATTGACTGAAATA